TCATAGACATGAAAATTTGGTGTATAGGCTTGGCAACACTGTAGTGTATCGATTCTTCGATGAATCGAAACAATGGCCCCCTCCCCCGGATCAGTCACCCTCGCGCACAACAGTGGTGCCCGCGCGCGATTCACATACGCCCGTCACCCGCCCGCGACTGCAGCGCTCCCCCGCGCAAGGGTTACGGAAATCATTCCATACTGAGTTGACTAGGATCCTACGCGAGAATGCGCTGCAATCACCCGCTCACAACAGAACGGCGTCCTATAGAACTCGTCCCTGATACGACTGTCAGTTTTGTTTACATTCTCCGATCTCCGACAGATATTTAAAATTTCTTCAAAACTTTTTCCCTACATCCCTACGAAAAGCCGCTCAAAATATTAATTTTCCTTTAACAGTATCTTTATCGTTCAATTTTCGACTTGTGTGCGGATTTAGAGTAGTCTTGTTACTCTAAGACTTCTGTTATTTCTTGTGTATCCTGCTACCCTTATTTCAATCATTTCTTTCTAGTCCTAGTCTTACCTCACTTTTAGAAAACACTTCGCATCATTAGTCTTCTTTCACTTAAAACAGGTTACTTGCGACTTGCCTAAATGGCTACAAGGGACGAACTCTATGAAGGTAAGGTGCCTTTTCACAGTTACTTTGTTTTTACGAACATTTCAATACATGTTGATTACAAAGACAGGCTGAATACGTACCTTACAATTTGAGAGCTATGTATTGAAAACTTTCGTGCGAAAGTTGTTAGCTACGTATGATTTAAACTCAAAACAGATTGAGTACAACCCTGATTATGAGGCATATTGTATCATTACACTAAAATGGCCAAAGTGCTGTATTGTACCTTTTACCCCCAAAATGCCAATTTTTCAGGAGAGTCCGGAGATCCTGCCACTACATGCAGTGAAAGCATCCGCTTAGTAAGGAGATTATTCACCTCTCTTTGAATGTTTTACGAGACATGGTGAAATTTTGGGGTAGAATGTAAGCACTGATCCAAAGAGTGTGTGGGTTGTAATCAATTCAAAATGACATCATCTCCGGCTGTGATTTCCATAAAAAAAATATAGCAAGACTAATTTATTTTCTGCTTACATTCATTTATGAATCTTGAAACTTATTTGTATTTCTTTCATCATTGGTATCACAGTAAACCTTTCCTTAGTTTCCTTAGTTTCCTTTAATTAATCACAAATCCACAGTGTTCACAAGCTAAAATAAGACTCAAAAAATGGACAAATTTTTCTACTTTTCAGCTGTGAAAGAGACTTTGGAACAAGAAGGTGTTTTACGAAAGATTAAAGCGCAAGTTCAGTCAGAAGTGACAAAGATGCTCTTTGAAAGTGTACCCAGCAGTCCTCAGAGACCAGGTTTACCTCAAGATTTGGTCCTAATTAATGAATTGGTGAAGCAGTATTTGGAATGGATTGGCTATAGTTACACATTACCAATTTTCAATATTGGTAAGGAAATTATTTTAACTTCTCTCCTTCTATTTAGATAAATCTGAGGAAAATATTTACTTTGATTTTAAATTAAATTTAGTCAGAAGATGCTCTCCGTGAGGCACAACAGTCTCTCCTTTAGGTATTCCTCTACCTTGTCTAACTACCCTGCGGAAGAATAAAGGCTGTCCGAAAAGAACTGAGGCTGGTACCATACCTTTTTAACTTTTTAATGTGTTCACCTCTGTGGTTGTGGATTTCCGTTTAAATCTTCTCGCTGTGGCTACATCAATAGTGAAACGATGTCTGAATAGTGTTGCCAAGTTTTTTAGTCCATATAGTTTTGAAAAATAATTTTTTGAAGAGCTTTTTCTGGTAAGAAAAATCCTTACTAAAAACAGTAGGTGGTAGTTTTCTCCTTTTTTCCCCCTCAAACCCTCATAATTTTGAAAATGTTTAAACCAATTACCTGAACTAGGAGTTTTTTTAATAGAAAATGAGTTGTTCTTTTAAATGCAACTAAGTTCATTTTTTTAGCTGCCCTAGTTCAAAAGTAACAGCCCAGTATGAATGCTCTTGGAGCAGCCTTTGTATTTACCTTGACATTGAAGATCTACCATTCTCTTGGGATTATCTCTTGTCCTTTTCCATGTGTTGATCAAATAATTGTTTTTCCTTCTGTTTTGTGTTTACAGAAAGTGGCTGCACTGGTCAACTATCACAGGAAGAATTAGCCCAAAAATTTAACATGAAGCTCTCTGAAAAAACTAAGAAAGTGTAAGTCAATCAGTTGCTAACTTCATAAAATAATTGGTCCTATTCTCAAATTTTGTCCCTTCACTTTCGCCAGATTTAGCATGAAAGAACATCTTGTGTATGTTAAATATTTAAGTTGAATTTAAATCATGAAATTGATGGATTACATCTAATCTGAGTAGATCATTGAAAAAGCGCCAATCTGAATGACTTCAAAAATAGCTGTCAAGCTACTGAAGAACCATTAGGAGATCAGTTAAAATTTCACGAAATTTTTTGGAGGAAGAAATAAATTTTTCATTGCTCTTAAATCTAAAAACAGGAAAAACTCACGTAGAAAGTTACCCAAAAACATTCATAACAATAACTTAACTTCTAATGATAATAAATAATCATATTTTCCACCTGGTCAAGACTAGACGATGGCCTGTTCTGGTTGCTCAAAATCTTATTAACCTAGGACTTATATTAATTAATTTTATCACAACTCCCTCTTTTCTTCCTTTTTTTTAATAGCAACTATTTTAATTATAGTCCATCTCACCATGATTTAACTACAGATAATTTTGAAAAACAAAAATTAGATTGATAGTATGTTTTTCATGAGATGATAGCTTGTTTAGTAACTAGTTTTTTATTTCAACCGGATTCCATGTTTTACATGTTATTCCGTATCAACTGTGATCTGTATATTTCCTTTTTGTTCCATCTTGGAACAGTTAAGAGAAATAAATTAGTGAAAACTGAAAAACGAGATATTTGGATTTAGAGTCACAAATGGTGATTCTTTTTTAAGTGACATTATTTTGATATTCAATACCTAATTTGGGAAAATAAAACCTTGTCATGTTTCCTATTGTAGTAAAAAAATTGTTCCATGAGCTTCCTTCTTGGGCCTCGAAATTTGCCTCTTGGGTTCGGAAAAATTTAATTGTCGAAGAGGATTGCCACTGACATTGCTTTTTCCAAGAAAAAGATAAGAGCATGTTTGGTTTAGTTTAGTTCTGGTGAAGCCAAAGTTTCCTACACCACTATAGTCATATTTCTTTATCACGCCTTTTTGATCATCACATCTTTGAGTAAAAACTTTGAATCTACTCCACTAAAGATATAAAGCTTTCCTCTCATGACTCAAAACTTTTTACTTTTTCAGACCTTTACTCTACAGTCTTGTGATGACAGCTAAGAAACCATCAACAGTTTAATCTTTTGAAGTGAAGAAGAATGACTTTCCTGAATCAAGACACTTATTAAAATTGTTTCTGTTTCCACTCTCAACATTTTATTTCAAATTGATGCTCAAGTTTATGAGTTCTCTCATCTTGGTATAAACAAATGGTTATTATCAATTAAATCACCACTCTCTATTTATATCTTCATTCATTCCACTGCGTGTAGGTACCAATGGTGGCTTATCAGACTGTATTGAACCATTTTACCAAAAAGAATATAACCCAAGGTGGCTAAATGTAGGTGCATTCTTAAACTAACCCAATGCAATTTTTATTAATTTTTTTATTTTGCTGGATAAAATAAATTTTCTAAACTTCCCGCATACTCAAAAACTTTTTAGGAGTACTATTTGTAGATGCAGTTTTCCATACTTATGGATGTACATAGCTTCCAGGAGTAATAAATTCACACTCTCAATTGTAAGTCTATAGATCCATCCATCTGTCAAGCTACCTAGCTATTTATCTATTTCATCTACGCATCTTCAACTATACCATGCCACAAGCGTCACTTCAATTGAAAGGTCTTGTAAGTATTATTTTTAAATGTATGACTGAAAAATCAAAGATAGGAATGTCCAAAATGTGAGTTTCCATAGAAATCGTTCTACTACATTCTATCCATAATGAACAGCTGATCCCATTTTAAAGGAATATCAATGGACCAAACAACTAACCTCTTGCTCCCCTATCCTGTTTGGTATCGTAAATGCAATGAACATTTGACTGAAGTCCCCCGGCGTCAGCAAAATATTTTTGACATCTGTGAGCGAGGTGATCAATTTTGAAATCTATTTGTACGTACCTAATTCTAATTTTTTTTACCTTCTATCCTATCTTGTCTCTGTCCAGTTCCAAGGCTAGAATTTAAAGACCCAATTTGAAATCACTTTCACTGATAATCTCCTCATGATTTTCTCATGTGCATTTAAAATGTTAGTTTCTCGAACTGAACTTCAACTATGCACTGAAAGTTTCAGTACAGTACAGTATCAAGAAAAATCAAAGGAAATCTCAGGTGTTGTAGGGAATAAGAAATTCTTTGACAATTTCCTAATTTTACCTAAACAGGAAATAATAATGATGACTTCATATTGTATCATTGATCACCAAAATTTTGTCTCACCAAGGAAATGTTCGATTAATTCCTCAATGTTCGATTAATGACCCCTTCACCTAATGTATTGTTTTATTTTTTAACAGTGCAGAATCCAGACGCCTTGCAGACCAGGCAATGTTCTCGCGGATATTTTTGAATCCTGGCTGGCATTTTCAAGATTATCCTCCTTAACTGAACTACATTTTTCAAATTTTGACCATCAACCATGTTGCAATTATTGCCATTCTCAGCTGCAAAATCACTCCAATGCCAGCTCTGCCTCATCAAACTGTTTTGAAACAGATGGAGCAACAAACTTCTATGTAGATAGACAAATAGATCCTGAGCCCTGCAGAGAACACTATCTTTATCCAAAACAGGTTAATTCATTGTTGTTCAAATTTGATTTTAACTTATCAATTTTCTCTGAGAACTGGAATGATAGGTTGCCCAAGCACTGAAATACGCAAAATATCTAAAATCAGCCTTTAGTGCCTCTTTATGTTCAGCACTCTAATTTGATTAAATCTTACTAAAGGTATGGTCCAGTGCAGTTAATAGAGGTTGTCAGTAGATTTGGAGTTTTGCAAAAAGGTAATTTATATAAGAATTGCTTGCAACATTTTATTCTATATTTTGCAACCTAGGACTCCTGGAAGACACTCACGTCCAAAAATGTTTGTGATTCCAATGAGTCTTGTTGTTATGTAACCGGCATATGTCCTGGTATATTGATCCTCAAGTCTTGGGCAGTGATTGCAACAGTCGAAGAAATCCAGAAACAGAGCAACAGACTTGCATACTGCAACAAGAGCCTGATTGTGTCAAAAAGATAGGGGAGAGAACAAGATCTTGGATAATGGTGAAAAAAAGCAGCCATTGTGGGCCATAGGTCTTAGCAATTGCGTTTGTTTGCTAGGTGTAAGGAGGAACTTTTAAATTACAATCTAAAGATATCGGTACATTAATTATATATTTATTTAAGGCACAGCAACAGTTGGTGTTAAATTAAGTTACATTTAAAAAAAAAAAAAAAAATGAACCATGAGAGATTTTAAACTTGACAACATTTTATTTCTCCGGCTAAATTATAGAGGCCCTTGAAATTTCTTGAATATCCCAAACATTAGCGTGAAGATAATTTTTTTTTCATCTGGTTTTATGTAAGGAGGAAATTTTCCTCTTTTCCTCTGTTTTAACTCAGTGTGACTTTGCCCCTTCCTTCAAGCTCAGTTCAATTATTTCAGATTTTTTCCCTCCTGATGATTTGCTTAATTTCTTTCTACAGTTTTCCTTGCATAATTTTCTGAGATTATTCCTTACTGTCGTTTATTTTCAATGTTTAATAGTAGATTCAACGCATCAAATTATCCCCTGCTCAGAGAATTAAGCTTCGTTCCATTCAAGAGGGACATCAGAATTTCTTTCTGGATGATGTTGAAAGTTTTGGAGACTGCAACTCAGAAAATTTTGGGAATACTCCTCCCTTCTCTGTAGGAAGAGAAGATCCAACTGTCCATCATCCAAATAACCTACGCGGAGGCACTTCAGATCAGATTCCAGTATCTTCAAGTACTGAAGTCGCTGAAAGAAACTGTTTTATCAATACTGGCCTTAATAAGAAGAAAACCTGCAAAACTAATGCAGTACAGAAAGATAGTTGGGAACCCTTCCTATCTGAAGACCCCCGCAAAAAAACTTGTATTTCATGTGGGAAAATCCTGAGGGAAGAATCAGATTCAAAAAGACCTGAAGCCAAAGGACATCAGTCCGATCCTTTTAAAATCGTACAGAAAGAAAATACTTTGTTTGTCCCAGAGGTGATCAACATTCGAACTGAACATCCAGAAAATATGCAAGATCAGAACAAGTCTTGTGAATTCAAAGATGATTTTCAACTCCTTATATCGAATATCGACCCTGAAATCACCTTGAGAGAATTTGTTCTCTTGTTTGCTCCAGTATTGCCAGATAGGGGTAGGCTGATGAAAAGAGCAACAGAAGATCAGCTTCTCAAGCTCCTTAAAAATTTAGATACTCTTTTTACCAACAAACTGGAGCAAACCACCCAAATTATGAAGAGTAAACACCACTCAGAGGTGCAGGACTATGAAGCCTATGAAAAAAAGATTTCTCATCAAAAATCACTTCTCGAATCTAAAATTCAGTCAATCCTTCCATCTTTTGATTGGGAAGAGTATTCGAAAAATGAAGAGCACTTAACGAAAGCCCTCGAAGTTAGTATTATTCTTAATTTTCAAATTGGATTCTTTACTGCAAATAGTGTTTAAGATACAGGGTGATGTCAAGCTTTTTGAGAGTCATTTAATTGGTTTTTTTCATTTTTAGGAACTATTGAATTTGTGGATTACATTTTGCAATAAGGAACCACTATATCTGACTCTCCCAAAACAGCACATATCTGCACAGGGAAACCAATGGCATGTATGTTGTTTCTAAAATGGGCTAGAAATAGTAGTTCCTTTTTGCAAAACGTAATCCATGTCATAGATCCCAATTTGAAAAATTGTATCGTATAATTTTCCCGCAACTATATCATTATTTTCAAAAAGTTAAGTTGCCATTTGAATTTCAAGTATCTTTCTAGCTGGTATTTGAATGCGTAGGAAGTAACGGTACAATTGGTGCGGTGGAACACCTCTGTGTGGAACAATAAATGCAGACTTTAAGTTCATCGTTTGGCTTTTCAATAATAAAATCTATACCTGCTACAAATTTTGAGGTTGCCAATTACGGCGAGAAGAAATCAAAATTTTAGGAAGGCCCCAGGTAGAAATTCTCCGGAGCACATTTTCTTCAATTACCATAAACACTGATTGCTAATTTGAGATGATCGTATACATCAGTGCTCCTTCACTGTAAATGCTACTTCAGAGTGAGTAGTTGAGTCCTCTGTCTCTTCTACTTTTCTTTGCCCCTAGTATAATTATCCTACAACTTTTTACTATGTTCTTCTTTCATTTATTTATTAATTTATTTTCCCTGTTATTTTCATGTACAATCATTATTAGTGTCATTCTCAATAAAAGTAGAAGATGTTTCTACACTTTTTTAATTGTGATTTGTATATTTCAGACTATCAAAGTCAAATTTCAAGTCGCAGGAGCTGGATTCCAAGAGGCTAGAAAACGGCAGCATGCACAGTTACAAGCTCTTAAAATGGAAGTTGGAAAAATGGAGGTACGTTTCAATAAGCTGTTGTTTGCACAAATCTGTCAGGTTTGAAAGGAACTTATTACAAACAAAGTAAAATTACATATGCCAAGAAAAAAAATGCTAGAAGCTAGATAGAATGAAGTTCGACTTCATCAGTCACAATAGACAGGTAATACAGGAGACAAGATTGTTTTTGTATTTTTCTTTATTTTCATGGTCTAATATTGTGCATTTATAAATAACAAAAATAGAAAAATTTAGGAATACTTCTAGGTTAATATTTTTGTACATTCTTTATTTAATTTATGGAAATTTCACACATAAATTTGCTCTTGGAGGCGTGTAATCGTGCCCTAAATTTGAAAAAAATTATCCTTTTGATTCTGATAGGATGCTGCACAAAATAATTCATAAAACTCCCAACTTGTCTATGTTTTTATTTATATTTTCATGGTATGGTTGTCCAACTCCATCAAAACATTTACAGTAGTCTGATTTTTTACAGAAAGAAAATTTCAACCTGAGAACAGAACTCGAGTCATTGAAACAAAGTTGTGAGGCTCAACAAAGTAAAATTAGTGCCTTACCTGCTATTTTAGAAATATTCAAAATAAACCTTCAACTCGCAAATAAGTTCCATGAAAAGTAAGTGAAATTAATGTAACGTTAATCTTTCAACTTGATAAGTTTTCAAAGAAAAAAATCAATGGAAATAAAAGAGGCTCTCAAAAAGTGAGCTAATTGCGCACATATTTAAAATACTAGAGCTGTCCATCTAGCATCAGTTCACAGTTCATTCCTCTTGCAAGGAATAACTCTGGATCATGCTCTCAAAATTAGCTACAGTTGTGTCCACACTATTACTTTTCTCAATGAATCTATTCATTGCGCTGGAGTTTATTAGTTCGCCACTGTCTTTTATGCTCTGCCACAAACTGTTGTTATTAATCTTTACATCAGATTTCAAAAGCATCTTGAAATTACATTTAGTTGTGTAATGTTTCAAGCGAATTTTCTGGATGAAATTGGGGTTGTAAACCTTGTGAATATCCGAAATCCTCAAGTGAACAGGAGCCTCCTCTCTAGTCAGCAAAATGCAGTTCCATGGTGACCAGACTTTATTCACCTCCCAGCGCACCAACCGCAAGTCAGGAAGATAGTCTGATTCGCTCAGAGCTGACTCTCCGTACCAGATAACATTGACTATAAAATAAATGCCGTACGGCTGCAGGATGAAACATGTTGAAGAGTAACACCGTCTTCTTATCTCATCATCTCGAATAAGTTTCAGCATTCGCTCATAGGGTGTGAAGTCAATTCGCGTAGTTGCAACATTTTCAATCCTCAGGCATTTGTTGCAAATGTCCAATTTATTTTTCCGTGAATCTGCTGAGAATTCATACAGCGGTAATGACTTTGAGCATCGCTTACAGGTGAAAAGCATATCATTGTTGAATTGATCTAGTCCACTACTCACTATTGCAGGGTTGCATTCTGGCCTTTTGATGAAGTCTAGGAACAGCTGATGAATTCGTCTTTGCAGTTCTGAAATTTCAGAAAATGTGGCGCCCATCCTTAATAAGCTGAGTTCTCGCTCTATTAACCTTTGTAGTTGCTCGGAGAACTTATATTCATCTGAATTAGTTGTAGCAGCTTTTGCCTTTAATAGAACTTCGATACGGTCCCTAACCGTCAGTTTTTTATGGACCAGTTTTTTATACAAATGAATGAACTCACGAGCCCTCTGTGTTTCTAGACTATCTATGTAAATTATTTGACCAGTTCTACTTTTAAATTTTACAGGTTCTGCAACCCTATCTAGAATCATCAAGTCTGTAATACCTATATTTTCTCTTTGCATCTCGCTCTGCTTCTTTTGAAGCGCTGTCAACAAATTGATCTCTTTTTTCAGTAACTGGTACATTTCAGCCTTTCGAGGTGCTTCTGTTTTTGACTCAGTAATTCGCTGCTTCTCCTTTTTCCACCATTCGTTTATCATTGAAACAATGATTTGATAATTGTAGCGCCTTTTTGAGCGCGCAGAATCTGAAATTTCGACCTTGTCCTCTTCGAGTTGCTCTATCTTTATTTGTTGTGTTGTCTCTCTCTCTTCTTGGTCTATTAATTTGTATACCCTCATGAGCCAGACTATTTTTTGTCTGACTTCATGACGTCGCACCCACCGTTGAATTTTTATAACCTTTTCAACGACTTTATTTTGATTAACCCATTCCTCGTAAGTTTGGTATGTTTTAGGTGTTATCAGTTTATCGTAAGGGTTAGTTATGTAAATGCCATTTTGATAGGTTTGGACGCCAGTGGAAGTTACTGTCTGAACACCTGTATTTCGCAGTGGAAAAGATGGAGTTTGCGTCTGTTGAGAGTATGTTTGAAGCAAGGGAGTGCCTGTCTGTTCTGCATACTCTTGCTTTAATTTTTTCAGACATTTTGTTTGCGTCTGTGCATGATGATAATCCTTTTTTTTTAAAGTGTGCTTAAAGCCACCTAGCCATGGCTTACTTAAACATTGGTTTTCAATCTCGACCGTCCTCTCAATTTCCTGGCCCAAGTCATCAGTGAATTTGACAGTAATAATATCAACCATGGGCACATAATTTTTTTGAACTAAGAGCAAATTTTCATCAGTAAGTCTTGGTGCGGTGATGGTTAGCTGTAAAGATTTAAAAGGCACTGCACCAACATTAAGCAGTGATGATTCTTCAGGTAGTAGTTTTCCATCATAGGACAGCAATATTTCCTGACAGTTTACTTTTAGGAATGACGCTAAACTTTCTCGTAGCATAGATACAGTCGAATAAATATTGAAGGCTCTTGTGAAAATTTGTTGTGTACTCTCAATTATAAATTTAACGGTTACACTATCATTCTTAGCTGCTGTAATTGAAGGGCTGAAACATTCTGGAAGTTGTGAAAACAAGTCATCTTTATTTTCACTATGGAGGTATTGCTTATTTTTTATGGCCTCCAACACAACCGCACTCATTTCTCTTCTGAAGTAAATGGTGGGTCTGTTTTTAATACTTTTTTCCAAAACTTTTGGCTCTAATAGAGCATGTGAATTAGTTTCAGTGGAAATCATCTCTTCTGTTTGGAGATGAGACGGCACTGATTTCGATTTATCTCTACTTAGTTGAGCTTTATGGTTTAAATACAAAATTATTGGTTCTGACCTTGTCCTAGGTAGGGTTTTTGAGTCGTGCTCTGAGTCAATACTACAAAAAATGGGCAAAGTATGAGATCTTATGATAGTATCCGTTTTCTTTACGATCTTTTGCGTTTCCAAATTTTGATTCAAGCTCGTCTCTTTGCCATTCCATTCTTCAGGCAAGTTGTTTTGTTGATCATCAACCTTTGCCCCATTAGCCAGGGAATTATGATTTTCAACTTTTGTCTCCATTGAAAGTTCGTTAGATTCACATGCTGAGACAGCAGGAAGAAGCTCGCATGCCTCTGGAAATTCAGATTGACTCAAAAATTCTAGCTCATTATTTGCGTCATTGCATATATTTGACTCTGCTGTATTCTCCATATTTCTCTCTAAAGCTCCTCTGAGTTGAGTTTTCTTTTGCTCAGGTTATTATTTATTCCTTTAAATTAGGTTTTGTTAACATGAATCTAAATAGTCAATTTCACTTTGTTGAGTGTTTTCAACTTGTCTTCAATGGAAACTTCATTGTTGTGCATAATAAACCAAACCTATATTGTCATTTACCAACTCGTTCAATTTTTCTTTGAAAAAAAAAAAAAAAAAAAAAAAAAAAACAGCTTTGAGTACATCAGAAATCCTCTTTATTTACTTGAATCAATTCTTAAAAATTTGGAAGACTTTTTTTCTCTAATAAGAAAAAAAATTTCGGTCAAATATCCTGAAATCTAGAGGAATGAAAAATGAAACTTTCAGCAGTCTCCCCTGAGTGTATGTTTTGCTGGTAATGCCTCAGAGTTGATCTTCTCAACAGTTAGATGCACAGATATTTTCTTGAAAAAACAGCCTTCCTCAGTGCATCGAGTTTAAACAGATCTTCATTCACCGTGAAAAAGAATTATTGAATGAGTATTTGTTTCACATACCTAATAATAATTAATTGACAAGTATTGAGTAGAGAATCAAATTCAAGTAAAAATTGATTGTTAACAGTTTTGCTCTTAGTCAGCAAAATATCTTATCACATTTGAGTGCTACTATACTATGATATGAAAGAAGAGAGTAAACCATTATTTGTTTAAAAGGTTGCCATGGTAACATAAGGTATCAAGAATGATTATTAGGAGATGGGAGTGCTTTACAAGGATTCGGAAACCAGATTTGATGCTAGATAAGGAGAAAAGAATTTTAATTCGTCCTGTGAAGAAGGCCTAACAGCTTATCACCCCCTTTCTACTTCCATAGAGTTTGTTTCCTGTTATTGAGGCACAACTAATAAGTTATTCATTCTTTCTCAAAAATTAGATGTATGAGTTTTTTAACGTTTCTACCCAATAATGTACTCCATTCATTCAATACTTTTTTTTTTCAAATATAATGCAAAGCTTTATTTCTCTTTACAGATTGATATCCAGTGCCAAACTTGTCGCTGAATTTGCAGAAAAATAGGAGGAATTTTTGACAGTCACGAGTTTTTAACTGGGTGCCTTACCAAGATATGAGTTTAAAAAAACATCGACTTAGCAGCTGAAAATTGCTTAATTTAAATGATATGCCCTTTTTTTATCTCATCATATCGAGTCAATAAATCGTTTTTGTATTAGTTGAACAATAATGAAAGTGATTGATTTGCTGATTGTTGTCCGAGAAATTATAATATTTTTCCAAATGTAGTTGACACTAAAACATAATCATAAATGTTGACTATGTTGCCTGTTTATACTATCAAGAGCATAAGATTTCTTTTATAGTAATCATAGTTAATTTTGAAGCTATTTTGCTTTTATGCACACGATCAGATAAGTCAAAGATTGTCAGGAACAACAAATTGATGTAAATACACTTTGATTGTAAGTAAGAGGTAACATGGAAAATGGTTTCTTTTTTGTCTCATTAAATCAAATGTTCAGAAGTTATTACTCTAGATTAATTAATTTTTGTCCAGTAGCTAAATAAAGTATCAATAGTTTTAGTTTCTTAAATATGTTTTGTTTCTTGATCATAATCTCGGTTTTTTACACAAAGCCCATCTTTATGAAAACTCCAAGCAAGGAGTCATTACTTCTTCAGGAAGGTCAAAATCAGGGGCCATTTGTCTGACTTGAAGATAAACAGGAGAAGAAGAAAGAGGATTAGAAGATTAATCAACATCACTTAAAGTTTCAGTTCCAAGGAAGGGATCCATGAGTGAGGCATTAAAACTCACCAATCGAGAAAATTATGATTTATTCTTTCACAAAACACAGCAGACGCTTTTTTTTTAGATTCTACAGGGTGTCTCACGAAAAACGAGCCACCTTGAATATCTGCCGAACGCGTCGGAATTTCGAAAAACGGTAAAAGACGTGTTCGTTTATATCGAGGGGGACACCTTTTGGCGTATTCGACATTTTCCCAAACCGCGGGAGGGGCGCGGGGCGGGAGGTGCCCCACCCGTAAGTCGAACTTTCCAAATGGCACCCCTACTTTTTTATTTCAGAAATCAATTCTACGCAAAAAAACAAGCCACCCTGTCCAAACCGAATGTAAATCGGACAATTTTTCAGTGATTGACAGAGTTTGAAACATTTTTTTCATGCTCTTTTCAAAAATTTCCCACGCCCAATGGAATTGCTGTATCAAACCAAACTCTCCGCCAAAAAAATTCTTAAACATGGCACTTTCGATAAAAAAATCAAAAAAATCTGCTGCACTCGAAATCTGGAGCACGCGGAGCCCTTCTTTGCGACATTAAAATTCGTTATACCGAACATTTCCGGGGGGCGCTCATCGGGAGGGAGTAGTAAGTTTTAGACAAGAATTATTAATCCTTTTTCTGAAGCATAAGAAACCGTGTCCACGAAGAAGCAGTTAAGTAGAAAAACAAATGGATTAGCTTTTTTTTGGGGTGAGGGGGGGGGTCAATGACTTGAGCCGGACCTTGATACTTCTGAGGACGCTATTTTTCCGCGGTGCGTTGTTTTTTTACTCAACTGCTTCTTCATGGACACGGTTTCTTATGCTTCAGAAAAAGGATTAATAATTCTTGTCTAAAACTTACTACTCCCTCCCGATGAGCGCCCCCCGGAAATGTTCGGTATAACGAATTTTAATGTCGCAAAGAAGGGCTCCGCGTGCTCCAGATTTCGAGTGCAGCAGATTTTTTTGATTTTTTTATCGAAAGTGCCATGTTTAAGAATTTTTTTGGCGGAGAGTTTGGTTTGATTCAGCAATTCCATTGGGCGTGGGAAATTTTTGAAAAGAGCATGAAAAAAATGTCTCAAACTCTGTCAATCACTGAAAAATTGTCCGATTTACATTCGGTTTGGACAGGGTGGCTTGTTTTTTTGCGTAGAATTGATTTCTGAAATAAAAAAGTAGGGGTGCCATTTGAAAAGTTCGACTTACGGGTGGGGCACCCCCCGCCCCGCGCCCCTCCCGCGGTTTGGGAAAATGTCGAATACGCCAAAAGGTGTCCCCCTCGATATAAACGAACACGTCTTTTACCGTTTTTCGAAATTCCGACGCGTTCGACAGATATTCAAGGTGGCTCGTTTTTCGTGAGACACCCTGTATACTCAACATAGATTTTTTTCATCACCTCTTAGCATTTGTTGAAAAGTCACAAGAATAAAAGTAAAGAACCGGAAATTCAAAGGATTGATTTAAGTTAGAGAGAGTGGGTATGTGGAACGCAAAAGTTGTTTTCATTTCTGTTAGTTGATTGATAAGTCAGCTGAGGTCTTGGAAAATTATCTAGAAATTTTTTCGGTATAGTTTTTAAAAACTGTGTCCAACTTATTATGTGACAAATTCGAACCCAAGTTGCTAAAACCTGACCCTTGTTTGAATTTTTTCTCAGACCTTCCTTCTTTTTTTTTGTTTTTTAATTAATTGAAGTTCTAGGAAGACTTCCATTATTTTGAGAAATATAGGTAAACGTTTGTACCTAAAAATGTCGGAAGAAAATTCAGTGAGTACTTCAGGATGGCAAAAGCAATTTGATGGCATCCTGAGTATTCCTAAGCCCACGGCTTGCCTTGTCGCCACGGGACGTTTCGTGAGATTTTTTCCCTAGGACAAGTCTCATGAAAAACGTCCCACGGAGACAAGGCCCACAGATTCTGTTCCATAATTTTTGGGGGGCGACAATGAGAACTCATTAATTTTTTGAACCTTCATTTCAGAAGCAGGGTATGCGACTCACATTTAAAAACGCAAAACTCTTTTTTCTTTGGAAAACAAGTAAAGGTATAATTGTTAATAATTAAAGTGAATAAAATGTCTAACTAAAATGTAAAAAGTTATTTTATGTTTCTAAATTTAAAATATTAAAAAATTATACAAAGGATAAAAACATAATTTTGCTAGATATTAACAAGCAGACAATTTTCGAATATTTATTTGAATGCGTTTTATTTGTTATAATATGTACATATATGGAGTTGATTTAAATAATACGAAAGGACTCCTAATAATTCGGCTAATTCATTCAGGCGCGTCATTTTATATTTCCCGCGAAATAGCGATTCCTTTGGTGAATGATTTTGGTTCGGACGAAGAAACCGTTGCGATGCATGTAAACATACTGTTCTTCTTCTTCTTCGCGGTCGCGGAAAAGTCCCTAAATTCTCTAGATTCTCTCTTTAGAATTTGTTAATTTCGTTCTGTAAAAAGCGTTTTTTTAAACTAGAAAATTTAGTTTGCTCACCAGGATGTCTCTCTCAAGGTAATTATCTTCTATATTTTTCCGTGAGCAATGAACGCTCTCCTTTCAATTGCTATCTTTCCTCACCTCAGCTTAGCCTCGCTGTGCCTCAACTTTCAGGAAATTTTCTCTGTGGCTTGTATAGAAACAAAGTGCTTTAGCTCTAGCACATAATCATCAGCTAGTTCAAAGTATTTATAGCTCCCAGCAAAATTTGCAGTAATCACTGTAGTACTCAAAAAGTTCCGGTTTGCACTTTTGCAGTTCGTCTAGGAACGACGTCTTGGAATCGCTCTCTCGCTAAGAGTGTTTGATAAGGGCTACGTTAACATGAAAAAGTTTTAAATTGGCATTGAAACAGTGAGAAACTACGATGAGGGATTGGGGTGAATTAGTTTTCCTCTAAAAGTGAAAAACTCTGCTAATTTAGCATTGCTGAGCTAGTGATAGGGAGGATGTTTAAACAGGGAATAGTGTGAAACTGCATGGAAACAAACTTTATGCGGTACTTTGGTTTTCTTCTCTCTATTTTACTGTGGAAAATAGTGTGATTGGATACAGATTAAAAAGGAAAATTTTTGAAGAAGAAACTGGGAGAAGCATCCTGTATGGTCTAAAAACTAGAAGCATCCCGAAAGGTCTAAAGAAAGGGCTTAACCTAACTTCCAACCAAGCAGACAGAGTATTTTTGTCTTATCAACAGGTTGTTTGGCTTCTAGAGGTTCGTCTAGTAATAAGAACATACTTAAGTTGATGCCAAACATGGCTAATAGATTAAAGAAAGGTGTACAAATTGGGAAAGTGGGCATGGGTAGCCCAAGCCCAGTTAGAATAACTAATAACAAAATGAAAATGCCGACTCAGGGCATGGAGAAAAACTGCGTTCTGGAAGTGCGTGCAGCGAGATTGGGGTGGCGAATCCAAAGGTAAAGGTACCGTCTAGAAGAAGAAGTGCTTTGAAAATGTAAAGATGTCAGCTTGCGAGGTCAGATTGGACAATATTAATGTTTGAAAGCGAAAAATGTATATTTCTGTTGCCCTCTCAACTAAAATTTTCTGCTAGAAAAAAATAATGAAAATAATGCATGTAATTTTATGTGGGTTTTTTTTAGAATGGGTCAGGAATATTTTGAGAAAATTTCAATCAGTAGGTAGAAACAACTGGTCAGTTATCCTTTAAAAAATAAAACATGAACGGATACCTACAATGTTGCAGTCTGAGATTAACTTTTATAAACTTTAGCCATAAATATGTCGCACGAATGTTATTGCTGAATTTTCACAACTTATCTCATAAATCTTTTCTTTTTGCAGCTTATTGCCGGCACCCACCATGCCGGTAAAGGATAGAGAGATAAATAGCACACCAGTCTCATCTGCCCTGGTTATTGCAACACCAACAGCCCCACCATATGGCCAAAGAAGAGGATGGATACCCAGATCTCAGGAGGTACTGCTCGTATTATTATTCTTTTTATTATCGTTTGATTTCTACGGCCACTGTTGCGTCACCGTTACCATAGAAATGCAGTTTTTTTACCATCTTTTCAGTGTGCATCAGAGTGGTAGCTTGTGTGGTTTTTGATTGTCCTTGCTTCGTACATTTTCTACTTTATCATCCCTTTGAAGTCAAGATATCCTCAGTCTCTTATGTTCAGTATTTGTCATTTCAGTATCTGTCATTAAACTACGTGTGTTCTGTGAGTCAATTGTATTATTTCTTATGGTATTATTGCACTAAAGCTCATATTCTTAGCATGAGATTGGAAGGGGAGATAACCTCATCTTTTTTGGAATAAAACATGGAGAAACAGCCACCTTAGCGATGATGGCATCTGAGAATTGACTTGCGGATGGATTCCTTCTCTCAGCCTAGAAATGATAAAACTTTTATCAGATAAGTTAACTTTTGTCTAAATTCGGTTCGCAAGCAATTGCGCAGCAGCTATCCGATAGTGATTGAGGTTGGCCGATGTCATTGCCGTGCGTACGTACATTAAACAGTCTACTGCGAATGATAGGGAGAATTAAACAAGTGTGAACTTTCTGAATGCAAGTTCTAGCAAGTCATTATCTGAATTTCTATCAGATGGCTGTGATAGCACTGGACAAAAGATCATGAGTATTGGTCCAACCTTAAGTTACATCAAGTTTTGAGAGTCTACAGTATTCCTCATCAGCCTGTCATCTAGCGTATCTTTGTTTTGTTTATTTTACTTAATATTTCCTCTAACTCTGCCCTTTTTTGATCAAATGACAACTTTGAGACACTGGAAGCCAACAACATGCTCACATGTGGGCTTTATTCAAATTCAGTATCAAGTACTACCATATTTAGCAATCCATCCAGGCTCAAAACATGGCGCATGTACCCTCTATCAACGGCAACTTACCATGATAATGCATTTTCTAAAACTTTGAGGTCAGAAATTTGCAATTTAAATGTATGCAATTTTGTTCATTTTACACTGTAATAATAGGGATTGTCTTCCGGTTTTTTGGGCCAGTCCTTCTGCGGTGAATGTAAAGAGCCAAAGGTCTTTCTACTTTTAAAAAAGGCTTGGTCTTTAAAAATCCTTTCGCGGAAAGATTATAGAAAAAATTATAGCTTTGAACTGCAAGTTTCTATGTTTAATGCCTTGTTTTAAGATATTTGCTTTTGTTACAGGATTTTGGTGATGGAGGTGCCTTTCCAGAAATTCCAATCGCTCAATATCCACTGAACATGGGCAAAGAGAGCAAAGAAAGCTCATCAAACGCCTTAGCAATTCAGCTTGACGCGGAAGGCAAAGTAAAATATGACGTCATAGCACGCCAAGGACATGGAAAGGATAAAGTGAGTGTTTTCAACTCCTACTCTGCCTTTTTTTTTTTTTTTTCAAGAAATTAATAGTACAGATGACTGTAGAGTTTTTTCTCTGATGGCTATAGGTAAATGCTGAGTGGGACTAGCTCTTGGGGGCTAATGAAATGATTTTAAAAAAAGTGGAAAAAAAATTACCTGCCTTTTTTTGTCATAGCTTGTAAACTAAATTAGAGGCTTGCAAACGCAGTAAGCTTTGCCTCACAATCACCTGGAAACCATCATCCTAATCCATTTGTAAACAATGGAGTTATCAGTTGTTGATATCTATTATCTTTCAGCCATTTTCAGGACCTCCAACTGGAAAGTTGTTTGACATTTTTGAATTCTGGTGTCATATTGGGTCCTCCAGCACCGAAAAACCCCTAGAAATTAAGTTTCATTCTAGTTCATTGGTAACATCGGAGAGATACCCTCTCTTCACTTACTTTGATCAAGACAAGCATGTTCATCCCTCAACATCAGCAATGGCTCGTTATGCTCTGCAGTAAATCAGCAAAATCCTCATGAGTCTCAGATGCTCTGTTGATTGCTTTTTCTTCTGGAGAATGCTACAAAATCATAATAAATCAATCAAAATGGTGGCAAAGAAGTTGCAATATCTAATAATAAAAAATATTACTGTAAAAGAATAATGTGTACTTATATTACAACAACTGTTGAAAATATTTCATAATATGATGTATAGTTTACCAGAAACATTTTAACAATTTTAAAAGTCTGTTGGTGGGCAATAATTTATTTAGTAATCACTGCTTGTTGTCCTGAGGAAACCTTTTCTCTAGAGCCTCAGGTTCCAGTCTTAACTGTCAATAACATTTTTTGGATTACTTACACCATAGCCATTGTAATCAGTAGTTTCCACTAACCTTTAAGCTGCAAATGTTCATCTTAATCATCAGAAGTAAATTAAAATAAAATGGCTCTTATTTTCACTTCAACAGACTGTGTCAGCCTTGTACATGAAGGTAAAGGGAATTTACCCGGTAGGCAGGGTAAATTAAGTGAATGGACAGGAACAATTTGGCTAACAACCCTGTGTATAGCAATTTATGTTGTTTTACAGATTGTGTATTCAAAACTGCAAGACTTGCTCCCATCCGAGGTACTCTCAGAGGATGACCCCAGTTTGCAGAGACCAGATGCTGAGGAAATAGCTGAAACAACAGAGAAAACAAGACTGGCCTTGGAAAAATTATCGAGCACTAAGATTGCTGCAGCTATGCCTGTTCGATGTGCTGATAAAGCGGTGAGTCAGGCATCTATTTATGAATCAATAGTAAGACTGATAAAAACCGAATTGTAATTTTTTTTAGCTAGCATGGAATTGCAGTTAATCAGGGTGTAATTTTTTCAGACTACCGCGGGTGTACGCACTCTGAAGCACCTCTTTAAAATTCAGCATGATTTTCTATAAATCTGCCTAATTATTTTTCCCTTTGGTGTAGAGCCAATCAGTAATTCTCTAAAAATATAGTCAGCAGTAAATGCTTTTGGTATTTGGCTCGGCTGTCTCATGGAAAAAAGTTGAATTAGTTTTAGTGAAAGTTGTCACTGATAAACTTGCTCATCAGTGTGAAGATTGCATTAAAAAATGGGCTGATCATTGCATTTCTTATTTTTACTGATGTAAATATACCACTCTGTAATATCTTTATCAATGGTAGAAATAGAGATAATTTATTTTTTATTCAAATATTTCTCCTGCCGTAGAATATAAGATTAGAAAAGTGCTGTGGGGTAATAACATAACAGCAGAAAGTTACCATTCAATCGCCCGCAGGTTAGATCAGTTTAATCTTGTCTTCTTTATAAGTACTCTTGGCACCTTTAGTTGTGCATTCAAAATAAACGTTTTTATTTGACCTTATTTGCTGCATCCATCATTGCAGAGGAGGCACACTTTCTCAATGCTTGAAAGCAATCGTTCAGATTTCAAAATCAAAATGAATACCCATTCGCAACAATCAAGTTTAATCATAAAATGAAATAATTTGTCTAGGGACATTTTCACTTGAACATGTTGACATTCCCACTTGTCCTCCATCACATTTGTCTTTCTGTTTCAATACCCAGGCTCCTGCTCAATTTATTCGTTACACACCATCACAGCAAGGCGCAGCTTTCAACTCAGGTGCTAAACAAAGAGTCATCAGAATGGTAGAAGCTCAAAAGGATCCAATCGAGCCTCCTAAATTTAAGTAAGTCTTATGTTCCTTATAAATTTGAAAAATAGGCATTTATAAAAATTTGATCATACAGACTCGAGTTATCAAGATGTGTTTCAAATATTTTTTCAACGAAATTTTGTTGGATGTTCTTAGATGAAAGCTATAGAAAGACATGTCATGTGCAAAGCTCCAATTAATGGAAATTTGAGGATGATATTTTGACTTTTGTAATATTTGCCCTGGCATGCACTACCGAAACGGGTTTTATCAGTCATCATATTTTTGAAAGGGTGCTATCTCTCTTAACATCGAGAGGAGAAACCTGGAGCTTTGAGAGATCTCGTTTTTTTTGCGAGTCTGAAAGCAGCAATTATAAAAGCCCCATTATGTGCAAAATTACTCAAAATTTTAGAACCAGCAGGCTGCCTCATCAAAAGTTAACTAACAGTCTGCTCCCACTTCTGTACAAAGTCCGCTCACTTATTTTTTTTTTTCTCAGTGTATTACAACGCAGTTGATTTCTAGTATTTTTGTTTCAGAATTAACAAAAAAATTCCGAGAGGTCCACCTTCACCCCCTGCACCCGTCATGCACTCTCCTACAAGAAAGGTATTTTTTGTTATTTACTGTAATAATTCCTAGATATAGGCTGCCAAAGAGCAAATGGACGTTGAAAGTCTTTTCCTTTCTTTTTTGGTTTCTTTTAAATTCTTAGATATAAGCTATTTCGTCTATTTTATATTACTCAGCTTGACAGTGAGTTAATTTATGATGTTTTGCTTGCTGCAATTTCCAGCATACTTCGAATAAGGGGCACGAAAAATGCCTGATCTCTCAATCATTATAGCAAATGTTAAACAAATCTTGGGCCAAGAGAAAATTTCCATAAGTCATGAGGGTTTTTCTCTTTTTTTGCTTATTACTTTAAAAAAGTGGGAAATACTCCACATTTCTCTGTAAAATTATGCATTTCTTCGTGATGCTGTTTGGAAATTTGACTTCGATGTGAAAATCACGGATTGCGAGAAATGCTCAATGTGGGAATTTCTTGCATCCTTTGTAGAATGTAGTGAAAAATGTTGCAAAGTGTAATTAAAATGGTTGAAAATTACTCATGAATTTCGTTTATAATTTTGTCTTAATATATGTGATAACATTATCAATGGTGACAACATGGCGGAGGTACAATATTTGTTTGGGTTTAATTTTAATTCATTTCAATCACCTGATGATTACTTGAAAAGCAAGATAGTCATCATATAGGACTAGGATTAATAACTAATGCATTATGTGAGCAAGATGGTAAGTCTCATTGAGAGTGTCTCATTGAGAATACTCTCTCAGGTCGTCCACGAGGGTTTCTGTTCCAACAAAATATTACAGTTCCGAGGGTGCCAGATTCCTGTTCCAGTTTTGGTTCCCACCCCTGATGTTCAGTAACTTTCGTTTGTTTAAAAATTGAGCACTAATTTTCCAAATATTTTAGAGGTCTCCCCAGTCTGCTCCCTCACCTTTTGCTTGTCTCCACATTTTTATTTGTATTTTTTCCCAAATATTTTTCTAATTTATGTCTTGGTTTTGTGATTAGGTAACAGTGAAAGAACAAAAAGAGTGGAAAATTCCTCCATGTATCTCCAACTGGAAAAACGCAAAGGTAAGGAAGTTGCCATGTCTTTTTTTCATTTCTCTTTTCATCGCTGAGATTTAATTTTTTATTTACTATGAATTCATTATAGACCCCTAATAAATAGATGATTCAATAATAATACCAAATACCTATTAAAAACATCATTTCAAAGGAATTTGAAATATCTTTGAATGAAGTTGATGCTGGGCCACCATGACCCAAGTTGTACATCAGCTACTAGTTATTGATCAAATATTGATCTTAAGTCAAAATTTTGAGTTGAAAATTATTCAAGGGCTTCAGGTCTCATTTGCTAACGCAAATTTTTGTAATGCTATTCATTATCTAAAGGTAATTTATTGACCTTGGTAGCTTTTTCTATTCATTCAAGAGAGCACTGTGGCAATAATGTTAACTTAAGAATGCAGATAGTTCTTTCCCCTCCTTTCTTACAATCTTTATGTAATTTTTCCAAATTTTACGAAGTGATGACTTTTATTCTTGTCGTTCTGTGTCAAAAAATGGTTTTTTTTTGTTTTTTTTTTTTGTTTTTTGCAAATAAAATTTGATTTTTACTTGAAAATTGTCTTTTTCACATTATCATTGGTCCACTACCAGCAGACATAAATCCTGTCAAAACTTTGATTATTTTGTTCATGATTTCAGGGTTACACGATACCATTAGACAAAAGATTGGCAGCAGATGGGCGAGGACTACAGCAAGTTCACATAAACGAAAATTTTGCCAAACTTGCCGAAGCCCTGTGTATAGCTGACAGGAAAGTAAGTACTAATCATTTCTTCCAGATACGCAAGACTCATTGCCAACTAATTTTTGACTCAATTCCTTTCGCACTTAAATGGATCTGTTAACTTTTTTGCACTCTATGTGACAGGGTGAGATTCTAACCACCTGTTTACAAAGGGCGTGTTTACGTTCACATTTTCCTTGCATTGATGAAGATCCACCTTGATTGACTTTGTGCTCCCCTCGATCCGCAGGCAGAAGCGTCGGCCATGTTAAGTATTGCGCAACATCTTAGTGCGCAAGGGTTGAATGGAACAACCCCTCCAATGAAATGCTCACCTGTACCATAGTATCGTTTTTGAAGCGGAGAGCTCAAAGAAAGAAAATCTCTCACGCAGATGGTGAAGTTAGAAGTGCATCTCAGATTTGCCAATGTGCCCATTGTAATTTTTGAGCCTGTTTCTGTAAGAAACGACTTATATTTTTGCTCTAGCAAAAGTTTGCAGCAGGCCCTTCACCTAACATGAGTCTTTCTGCGATGGAGTGTTGGTCATTTTTTTTTAAAGTCTCTCCAGGATCTCCAACCACTACCATTTTTCACAAGGTATTCTGTGGCATGATAGCCTTCAAATGGTTGAAATTGAAAACTACCAATAAAATCTTTCTCTAATTCAGTTCAAACTCTTTTTATTCAGGCAAGAGAAGCTGTCGAAGCTCGTGCTCAGTTAGAGAAGAAATTGGCACAGAAAGAGAAAGAGAAGAAAGAAGAACACTTGCGATTACTTGCTCAGAAAGCCCGTGATGAGCGTGCCGGAATCAAAAGTCAAGCAGCAGCAGGTGAGAATCTTTTGCATCATTTATTTATTTTTATCAGTAACTGTCAAATGCAAAAGCACTTGAAAGTAATAGTGAATATCATTTATTTTAAGTACCTATTTTTTTATTTTCATTTTTGTAATAGATTGAATTTTGGACATCAACATAAAGATTTGTGTATTTTTATTTCATTCTTTTTTACCTTCTGTGTGGGGGACTCAAAGTAACAAAACCAGTAATTGAATAACAACATGATTTAAACAGATTTCTTATTGGTAACATCAAGCATTTTGGTATGCAGGTATAATCGACATAATCAAATAAAATTGTTTGGTGTAAAGTTAAGCCTTCTAAGTTGTGGTTTTTTCTTTCTTGCTATCTTTCTTTTTTTTCAACCAATTACAGAGTTCCTTTCACAGGGCTTATGTAGTAGCTGATTGTGAGGCAAGTTTTGTGTGAAAACTTGCAGAAAATATCTGAGCTGTGTAGGATGTTAAATGGCACAAGTCATCATTTTCAATCGAGATCCAGCCGTTTAATGAGATACTTTACTTTTTTCCTTTCTTTATTTATTTCTAATTCAGCTGTAAATGTGGATTGTGTATCAAGATTTCTCAAATGATGAATTAGTTTTTAATGTAACATTAGGATTTTTTCCTTTCTAGCTAAGCACCCTCATTCGCCATCGTCATTATTTCATTGAGTAGTGATAAGACTCGATTTTAATGACATAAGGCGGCTCTTGTATAAAATCCAATTTTTTGTAAATTTTTCGTCGTATGTAATAATTATTTTTCAATTTATTTTTAGATAAAGATGAGGAGGCAAGAGAGAGAGATGCTCTCAGGTACGAAAGACACAAGGACCGAGCTAGGGAACGTAATCTTGCACGTGCAGCTCCGGACAAGAGGTTTGCTCTGATTTTTTCTTTCTCTTTGACTCCTATTTTTGTATTTTTTAACCCTTAAGCAGCTCATACCAATTTCTCAATTTTTAAAATGTCTTGTCAAGATAATTCTTAGGCAATCTGCATTTTGTCAATGCATGTTATAGACCAGAAATACAATCAGGAAAGTTTTTAGAAACCAGTGAAACATTCTCTGGAAATATTTTTTGGCCTGTTACACTCGTGAGTACCCTTCCTGCAGTAACTCCATGCAAACGCTCTGTCAAATCCAAACGGAAAATGAGCAACGATGGAGCTTCTACAAATCTCAATTATGAAATGATGGATGGCAGAAATTTTTAACATGACTTTTTGCTTGTAACTTGCAGTTCTGTATCTAGTTCTGTCTGGTAATTTAGTTCTCCTCTTTTCACAGGAACAAGGCACAACGTGAACGTGAGCGTGACATTAGTGAACAAATTGCTCTCGGGCTTCCAGCCAAGTCAGTCGGTGGCGATGATGTTCAGTTTGATCACCGACTGTTCAACTCAACCAAGGGAATGGACTCCGGTTACGGGGACGATGAAGCATATAACGTGTATGACAAACCGTGGCGTGACGGCAATTCGCTCAGTCAACATCTGTATCGTCCATCTCGTAATATAGACAAAGACGTTTATGGAGATGACCTGGACAAACTTATCAAAACCAACAGGTGTGTATTGATAATTGTCTTAAATGTATAGCTGTCATATTAAGAGTTATTCTTTTCCAACCTTGTAGACTCCATTTATTATCAGTTGGTGCGATGGAAAATGTGCAATAAAAATCCTGAGTGTTACTTCAGGAGTAGACAAGTAAAATAAAGTCATGATTTCATCAATCAACTCAGGGTCAACTTCGTAATTTGTGTAGTGTCAATTAATTGTAATTCATATCCAAGAAGTCCATTCTACTGGACCATTACTAAGTACCACTATACTACGAAGCACCATTCTAATTATAGGTGTAAAAGTTGTCTTGCCCTTTTTTTCAATTTTTAGCTCAGAATTTCAAAATGGCTTCTTTTTTCTCACATTGTGACTTTTTGTAAAATCAAAGTTCACCTCAATGCATCACTGTTATCCGGACTAAACTTGATTTTCTGAAAAATCTTATGCATGAAGTGACAAAACTTGGGTCCCTCCCAAATTTAGTTACATACAAAAAGAATTATGAAAGTCTCTTCATTCAGTACTATAAGATTTTTTATTCCGTTGCTGATGGTTTAATCTCTTCCAGAAAATTCATATTCAGCTGCGTTACTACGTAGTTATGACTTTTCTGGTCACTATATCCAAAGAAGAAATTAAAAAATTTCCTGCATATTTTTTTGTCAGGTTTAGTATGACTTTTGTTTTTGCCATTGCTCTCAAGTTGCCTGGAAAATTTAATGCTCCCTGGACGCAGCAAATTACCTGTGTTTATGGATCTCTGTGTTCTCTCGTTTATGGCGAGTTTCCATCGCGATTTCATTGACTCTGTATTTCCCTCTGAACAAGATTTTCTCTTTTTCGTAGATTTGTTCCGGACAAAGAATTTAGTGGAACTGATAGAGGTGCTGGAGCGAGCCGCAGTGGCCCTGTTCAGTTTGAGAAACATGAGGAGGAAGAAGATCCCTTCAACCTCGGTCAGTTCTTGACGCAAGCCAAACGTGCCTCCAAAAGACCACAGCATGACAGTCGCAGGGACGAAAAAACAGAGAAGAGGAAACGAAGGGATTAAGCAATCCTCTCCTGAAATTATGGAACCTTTCACCCTTGCGGTGATTCAAACTTGTTACTTTTACTAACCTGTAAGCTTTTTTTGGACCTTCAGCACTGTTTGATTGTTGTAAAGTTTATTGAGGCGGAAAGCAACAGAGTAGAAAATTCCTCAGTGGTAGATCCATTGTATATTTACTATCGTCTACCCCTTGTTCTTCCTACTAATCATCAGAAGTGACAAATATTAATAACCTTAAGAGCCATATTTCTGAAACGTTTTTCATTTGAAGAACCAAAGTAATTTTGTAAAACGCAGTGATACAAAATCTCGAGGAATTTTTACTTTTATTTTTATTTATTGAAAAATTAACTTAGGGACTTATTCTAAGGATGCAGAAGTGTGCAATCCATTTGACAAAAATAAAAGATTCTTAGGTAAAGCTGCGATTATAATGTGCTTAATCGCAGGAATTGAAGGCGTCCTGTTTTTTTATGAGGAAAACGGTGCACACAAAATCTTAATTGACATTCCATAGTATCTCAGCTCAGAAACCCAAATCAGAGAAACTTGTTTTTTTTGTTTGTTTTCTTTCATTTTATTTTATAGCACATGGTAATAATTGCAAAAGAGGTTTTAAGAACAACCCTTTTTTTGTAAGCAATCATCACTGCTTTATAAATTGTCATATGTAAATGAAGACTTCTCACCTTAGGGGTACATTCTCAAGTATGTATTCGCAGGTCTTTTTGAATGTACCTTAAGCATTTAGTAAATGGAGTATGAAAATTCATCTCCTGTCAAGATGAAATGTGTTTTTCATCACTAATGGATATCAAATCCCTTTTCATTGTTGACTAAAATTCGAATGTATCAATTTTCTTTCAAATATATTAGGGCTGGGCGATTATGGTTTTTTGGCCTCGAAGTTCGAGTTCAAATCGAATATAAAAAAAATATTTGAGATTTTCGAATATTCGCCCAGCCCTAAAACATATCGAACACAGAGTTGAACTGCATCATCCGCACGCATTTAATGAGAACAATGGATTAAGAATCAGATTATTGCTATAGATATCTGACTTTAGAACCTGTAAAAGTCTTGTGTAAAGTTTGTACTTTTATTTCAGTTTATTTGTCCTCTGTTATGTAAATTTGTTTAAAATTAATTTTTTTCGCAAGTATAGATCTCTAGTACTTGATTTTGTTGCTTTATTAATTTTTCCCTTATTCAATGTCTTTATCCGCCTTAATCAGCAAATTTCAACAGTTTGGAAAGAAAAATAGTACCTTTTAAAATGAGCAGTTTACAATTGAAATTTCATCGTTCCTTTGTCCAATTACTTCAACATATTTTGCTTTGTTTCATTTTTTTTATTTTAATCAAGAATTTCCATAAGATAATGATTAAGTTACGATGATTAGCATTTAGGTAACATGGATTTTTACAAACTGTACATAACAATAAGCCACTTGAAAATAAAGAGGAAAAACTGATGATGGCCGTTTTCTATGTTTTGACAGCATATTCATGGTAGCAATCTACCGTATTTACCTGCGTATCGTACACACCCCAAATTTTGGGGTCCTTCGTAAAAAAAAAACGGGGGCATCTTATCTTGGGGCAATACCCACGCATCGTACGCACCCTCAACTTGAGAGCCACAATTTTGAAAAAAATTTGAGTATGGTAGGTGGGTAAGTAAGGTCAAGGCGGATAAAGAATGGTGGTCGCATTTCGTACCCTCTGGACGTCACACGGTACCGGGTACATCGGGTGCATGGGCCGGCCGAGGCCAGGGGAGTCGGCTCAACCTCGAATTGCATGGCAAAAGCCGTACCCTCCTGACGTCACAGTGCTTCAAGATGGCAGCCAAAATCGAAATGCGACCACCATTCTTTATCCGCCTTGAAGTACAGTAATCACTTGAACAGAGCTACCACAATATCCTCTTTTTCCAATTTTCTGATTTTTCCGGATTCCAAAATTTTTGATTTCCCTGACTTTCCCTCTCATGCAAACATAACCTCCACTCAGGATTTTTCCTTTAAATTACACTCAATTTTGCTAAACGCAGCTAGTAAAATTTCCTGACTTTTTCAGGTCACCATGAATTCCCTAACTTTCCCGGTTTTCCAGACTACCGGAAACCCTGCTCAAAACCACTTCAAATCTGAAATTCCAAGAAGATTTATGTCATTTTAAACATTCAATACCTAAAAATTACACAGGGTTTATCGAGTATTTAAGGGTGACAGAAGGATTTTGATGTTATTACAAAGGCTCGTTAAATAAAATTGCGATACAAAACAACTCTGATCAAATCAACAAATCAACTCCGTTTTGCTGCATCTTATGGATTCATGTCATGTCATTGATGACTGGTCACTTGGCTAGAAGTTTGATCTTAGATAATAAGTTATGGACTTGGCAACAGAGGCGGATTTCCTTTCAGCTTAAATAGATAGGTGCTCAAGCTGCTCTGCTAAGGAACCCCAGTGTTTATGAAGGATAGGTTTTCAGAGAAAATTGACCTTAATGTTGGCTCAATTACATGATATTAGCGGATCTGCCCCATGTCTACTCGTATCTCACACATGGATAATTCAAATTTTGATCATGTTTTTGCTTGACTCAGTTCCTTCACTAGCGGTGAACAAGATTATAGAATGGAGCAACGAACAGTAAATACCTGTTTTGTTCTGATATGCAGTGCTCTCCCTCAGCGAGGCGGTATAGCCGCAACAGTTGAATTTCATTTATTCCTGAACTCTACAGCCTTCTCCAACTTTTTTTAACGGCTTGCACTAAAATATTGATAACACATTACTGTTATCAAAAGCTGGAATTTTCAAGTATAAATAATCAAGAAGTTAAAAATTTAGATTTTTATTTGAATATTTATTTTTAAAAAAAATTCTGAAAAAATTTTATTTTACAAAATGACACAGGGGATCGATCAAGATATTCGTTAATTTTTCTCAAATAATTTTCATTTTCAAATCTTTTTGGCATGTGTCTCTGGGAACATCTAAAATGGTGATAATTCTCAGTTTCAGAGTAAACTTCTTCACTGTCACAGTTTATGTACAAAATGACTTGCCAATAGAAAAACTTACACATTACAATTTTTACATGAAAAATTCAAAGTGGAGGAGGGCTGGAACAAGGAAAAAACTCATAATAGACTATTCTGGGCATTTTTCACTTGTGTTAGTACTTGAGGAGAACACAACTGCAAAGGTGTTTTTTCTTCTTTATTGGAAATTTCTGTCGATGCTCCATGTTTCATAAGGAGTATTATAATTTCTAGTCTGCCTTCTTCACATGCCAAATGCCTGAAAGAAGGAAAAATAATTGAAATTATTGAAAAAAGTCGCTGGTGGCAGGCTGAACCAATTAAGCAGCTACGTCCAATCTTCAAGGGCTGAAGCACCAGAAGCGCCCATTCAAGCACTCTGAGCCCCATGCATTGCTGAGATAAATGCTGTAACCAACTTTCATAGATCAAGTTTTTCACTTGATCTCATCACCAACAAAGTGTTTTAAAAATATTAACTTTAAAAAAGTATTGCTTCCATATGAATGTATATTGCTGATGTAGGTGGTACACACTTTTAAGATGAGTAGGATTGGACCAAAATTCATCAGACAAAATAATCTGGACTAAAAAGGAAGTAAGTACCGTAGGCAACTTAACTTAGCCAAAGCCTACTGAGAATGAAAGGAAACCTCAGTGCAAAATTTAGTTAGTTTCAACCTAATGCGAGATAATATTTCACTGATTGCATTACTTATTTTGCTATTCTGATTTTTTTTATTAATGAAATCAGCATATTTCAGACCTTTTCAAGCTCACAGGCCTGACATTTAAGGTGTGAATTTAAAAGTGAAAAACACTGACACACAAAGTGTTACTAAGATCAAGACTACATTGCATACTAATGCTCTTATTCTCACATCTAAAATGGGAATTCAAGCATGGGATTTCAGAGCAATTCAATCATTTTTTCTCTCATGATTCAATGATTATTTTGAAAGATAATTGAAATGCTTGTAGTGAAGTATTTATGACGATGATTACAGAACTTTTAAAAATTGCTGATCTGGTTAAGATGTTGTAAGGAATATTTGTCGCTCGTAACAACAAAATGAGATACTGGTTGAGGGGCTGGTGAATTTCCAAAACAAAATGAGCTGCTTTTCATGATGCCTCTCCAGTTTTTCCGCTCTTGCATTTGAAAAGGAGAGATAGACCAAAGCCTCTATTTTTCACAAGTCAACTTTAGTTTGAAACTGAGGCTTAAAATACTTACAAAGGAGTGTTTCCATATATATCTTGAGGATTAATAAGTAGGTGACATTTCTCTTTGTGCTCTAGCAAAACTTTGCAGACTGGAATATTCCCTTTAGATGCTGCTCTGTGCAATGGCCGAGCTCCTCTTTTATCTGGTATATTAATATCTGCCCCTTTTATTAATAGGAACTGTACAATCTGAAAATGAACGAGCAATACAGAAAAAATTATGGAATAAAAAAGTATTTTTACATCATGCTGATGGCTGCACTTCTAAAACACATTAAATTTTAGGAGGAAAGGTACAGACACTTCTCGAGGATCTCTTCTGACCAGTAATTACATGGGAAAATACCTTATCTTCCAAAACACCCTCACCAGGCTAGAATGCACTACGTCTATAAGCTCTACAAATATGTTGAAGGAGGAAGATTGCTTACTAAGAAAAAGTAAGTATGACTTCTTTTTTGCTGTCAGGGGACTTTATATTCCTGGGATGAATTCCATACTTACTGCATTTGAAAAAATATAGCAATGCCAAAGTGTGAGATCACGTATCTCCTACGGCGTTGCAGACTTCCTGATATGCTAAATTTTTTCTTTAAAGAACTATTTATCATCATTCCTTGAAAACTTCCCTGATTTTTCTCCTCTATTACCAGAACATTCAGTAAAAGCTATAGATTTGGCTCGTTTCTCCTCAAAAAAATAAAATGTGAGCAGAAATTTTGAAACACCACAATATGGAGATACAAGGTTTTGCATTTTGGCCATCAATAGTATGCTGAGTAGATTGATACATTTTAAAGAGCGAAGGTAATCCTCAAAGGTTTCTCCAATGTAAGTGAAACAGAGACAGGCAACAAGTGGATGGATTCAATTAGAATCTCCATGATAACATCACCTGCTGCCTGATTTCTTGTCATGTTTCATTTAAACGGAAATCTGAACAAAATTTTGGTTCAAAATTGTGGGAATATATTTCTCATAGTGATGGTCCAAGGGCAATTTATAAAAAGTTTCAAGGCGTGAAGCTGCACATTTTTTTGCTGAAAAAATGAAACAAAAAAGGGAATAAGATAATGCAAGATGTAGTTGAGCTAATTGTGGTTATGTCTGTTCGCATCAGTGGCGATTTTTTGAGTTGGCAACACTGTTTTTTCTCCATTTAAATTCATTGAAATTATGGATTTCAGGTGAGGCAGGCTGCCTCACTAGGAATTGATTGTATTGCATACATTTAAATGGAGGACAAACAGGGTTGCCCACTTTCAAGAGTCGCCACTGGTCCAAATATTTTGAATTCACTGTGTTCGGGAAATTACAAAGCATTAGAGAAAGCTGAAGAAAAATTCTTGAAAAACTTTGACTCCCTGGGGTTAGAACTCTCAAGGTCTTTGGAGGGTGTCTACTAAAACAGGCTGGTCAAAAATAAGTACTTTTACAGTATTTTTTCAGTACACTCTCAAGAAATTCAGTATCTCCTCTGATAAAAAAATTCCGTACTTTTTCAGTACCTCCATTTGATGAAGTTAGAAAAATTTCAAAAATTTGAAATTGCGACAAAAATGACAAAAAATTAAAACAATTCTGGACCTTTTTGTGGAATGTCCGCACTTTTTCAGTACTTCTGGACCGCCTTTGAAAAGTCAGTGCTATTTCCAGACTTTCTGGAAATTCCGGACTTATAGACACCCTGCTTTGGCACCGAGCGCAAATATTTTTACAGAATAAATCTTACATCTTGCCATCCTTTTGATGCTGAGTGCTGCAATGCGGAGTGACCTTGATCATTTCGAGCATTTATGTTGGCTCCTTTTGAGACGAGTAGCTGTACGATTTGAATTTTCCCTGCAGATGCAGCAATGATTAGTGGCGTTGTATTAGTCTACAAAAAAGAATGAAAAGAAAGGAAATAATACTAATTATTATGTATGAGTTAAGACACAGTCTTGACCGTGCAGAACAGAGGCTTCAGTTCCTGGTCAGTTTTGGTTCTAATGAAATCCTATTTGATCCAAAAAGTGTGCATTTGTACTAACGTTGGAGTTCAGTTAATTTATTGCCTCCTATAATGTAAAAGAGCTGTTTGGAGTGGGTGAATTTACTTCAATTTACGTTTGAAGCAGGCTTAAATGTACATACGTTATTTATAAAATAATTTGTTGTGCCTCCTCAATGCGATCGTATTGAACCCATGTTAAGTTGTGTATGCATTATGTAAAAACATTGATAGGAAGGTTTTAACATGCTTTCTTGATTCGGAATGCAAAGTACATTCTGTCTGTATCGAAGCGCTGGCATCAAAGTAGATAATGATTAAAAATTACACTTGATAGGACTTAGAAAATCTATTCTCTTTTGTCAGAACTGCCATCAATTGCTTTTTTTTGAGGTCGAAGTCCAACAATTTCTATGCCCCTATCATTGTGTAACAAATTTGCTATTTTATGTTTTTACAGTTTATTTTCACTTTTTTCCCCGTTTCTATTTTTTTCACTTATTTACTAATTAAAATCTCATAATAGCCAGGACTAAATTTAGTTACAGACAACACAGGTAACTGCTTTGAAATGCGCATCAAAAAGCTTTTTCTGGGCTTACTAAATTTGAAATTCATAGCGAAGAATTTTTTAGCCTCGGCTTCATCAATTTTTTTCATTCTTCTCCTGGTTAGAAATTGGGAACAAATGTGCCTTGACCTGGGCAGCACAGAGCAAAAAAACTGTTTGAATGAATTTTTTATTTAATGCAAAAAATTTTTATAATTTTTTTTAAAAAAAAAAAAAAAAAAAAAAAAAAAAAAAAAAAAAATCCTCACAGGGTATTCCCTTGTGTCACACTTAAACAAGGGCTTGCATGCTCCACATGGTATTTACTGCCCCTCCCCCCCATCATGTGAGTTTGAGTGCAACCTAAGCCGCAACAAACGGGAAAAATCACCCTCATACTTTTTTCAGCTGATTTTTTAAAAATTATAGACTGATAAAATGGAGCGTAAAAATTTCAGACCCATTCAGGGTTGGAAAGATTCAAAATTCTGTGGAGACTGTTAACTGTCAGTTCTGTTAACTCAAAATTCTAGAATAAAAAATTACGTCATCTTCAGGATCAACTGGAGAGCCTTTATCCAGGAGGTATTGAACAAGTTCCAGGCTTCCACTGAGAGCTGCCCAATGAATCAATAGCCGCTGGTTCTAGAACAAAAAAAAAATTGCACAAACTCAAGATTTTGATTTATATAATTATTATAATTTTATTTTTCATTGATATTCAGCACACTATATTGACTTCTGTTTTGCTGTCCTGCCCCTAAGTTGCTGTGTTTTCTCAAATTTATGCCATTTTCTTATACTTATAGAAAATATGTTCAAGCTTCAACGTTGATGTTAAATTTGATTGTGAGGGAAATTTAAAGCAAAATTCAGACTGCAGGAACATGTATCACACTTTGTGACTTAGTAGGCTTCCTGTCATACTTTAGTGTTTGAATGGGAAAGTAATTAGAGTCAATTCTTGAAAGGTTCTCAGAATTTTCTCCTCTGTATGAAGAATACTTCATATAAGAAAATTTCAAGCATTAGTGTTGGTGTTCTCTCCTTTGATGAAATAAAATGAGTGTGGGGATTTAGGAACACTGAAAACAAGATATGCAATTCTGGAGTCTAAATGTTTCTCCTTCTATTGAATAGTCGTTAGATCTGAGGTGCTGGAGAGCTTCAAACTGCATCCCGTAGTGCAATAGAGTGCAACCACTTCCTTTACTCTGATGCAATAGATTCCACGGGATGTACTGACATAGACCTTGATGCCAATAAAGTGCCTGATATATCCAATTGGATACATCTAAAGAGAAAGATTTTAAGAAAAAGGAGAGAAGAAAAAAACTTACGGTGTCTTTTTCAAGAAGAACTTTATTATTTTCCTCCACAGCTTTCTTCACCAGTGGTATGTTACCATTGTAAGCATTGTCAAATATGCCATCGGCATTGAGAGACATTGTAAATGGTGTTAAACTTTGATTTAGCACGTTAAATTATAATACGAGAGCCGGCTCCCAACTATAACGTGAACGTGACACAGCAATTAACTAAAAAAATTTCAAAATAAACAAATCATCATGAGATTTTTTAAGGTTAGCTGTTTGTTTTTGTTTGGAAGCAAAAAAGAAAAAAAACCGAGTAGGTTCCAAATGCCCTACGAACATTTGTATGCGTCATCAAAAACCCTTCATTCCTCTCTCTCATTGGCCGATAACTTGTTTTGACATTGGGACATGGCAGAGCTGCCTGCATTCGCATTGCATTACCTTTTCCTTTCCCGAGGCATTGGCAGTTCTGCAGTTCTCTTATCAAAAAAGTGAATAGACATACGAATACAAAATGTAATAACTCTGATAGAAATAGTGATCATACTGCGTCAACCTCTTCGAGTGTTTTCCCCATATTAATATTAATTACATTATGTTTCCGAGCTTATCAAGTGAAATTGTGATTACCACATCAGGTAAATGTTCAGTCGTTGAGATCCATAATCATCTAAATGTCATAGTTATTTTGATTTTGACAGCTCACAACTAAGTAGGTGAGAGCATAGCTGAGAGAATCCAGCCCTTGGAACAGCAGCCTGAATGTTGAAACTTTATTATCAGCTTTGTGTACTAGTTGCTGCCTCGATCATGGCGGGCTAAATAATTTCATCGTGAAAAATACAGCCAAGGTGATCGGTCGCACATGCAAGACAGCAAGAGCTAGCATAGTGACAACATTAGAATCAAACTCTGAAGTTACTTTTTGCAGGGAGGTGCCCAGGAATGTAGATTTCCCACCAGCCTGCCTGAAAATGTAGAGTCCGAAAGTATCAGGAAGAATGGTTTTATATTAATTCAACAATTCTTCACAAGAATTCTATACATATGGTTTTTTTTTCTCCTCTCATTTTAATAGACAGCTGTTGATTTTGTGTCAACTCAGCCAAAATGAACAATTCGATGGCGTAAGTCCGCAATCACAAATCTCGTTTGCAGTGTCTTTAAATCTCTGCCTCTGTCATTTTTTTGAAGGAGAACAAATTGACATTATTCCTTGAAGTTTTCGCAGAATTTTCTATGCACAGAGAAGAAAAATCACAGCAGTTTTAAATACTCGCCGTTGATTAGTTTTCCGTTTAAAAAATAAACCATGACAGGAAGCCTGTGATGTCGCAAACCGAGTTATGGGATTGCCGGCTAACACCTTCAAATTGTTCTGTTGATATGGATGTACCTTCATTGATCATGATTGATCTGTTGCAAAAAAATTTGAGCACCCAGTCAATGAACACTTAAAAGACAAAAAAATGGAGGAGGTAAGTATGGAGCCTCAGCTAACAAGTCCCATTCCGGGCTCATATCTGGCCTGCTTGCTGCCACGCTGCTATGAGCTGTGTTTTTTTTTTTGTTTTTTTTTTTAGTTTTGTGGCTGAGCTGTGTGTTAAAAAAGAAAGAAAGAAGTGGATGATGATGGTTGTGAGTTTGAGGTGTGTTGTTAAACCTAAAAGTTTGGGACTGTTCAGAAACCGCATTACCTGATGAATACAAGTCCTTATGGGAAGATAATTAAGTATTGATGTATTAGTCCAACAGATAGTTCTCAACCTGCTTATTTTAAGTAGTCAGAAAATATATAAAGGAACACATTCCAGCTAATGCATTTTTGGAATGTTTGTTTCAGCTTAAAGAGAAATCAGGCAATTGCAAGACGAACAAAATGGTATCTCTTCAGTGTATTCAAGATGATTTGAAAATATCTGCCAGCTATGTCAAAAGCACCTCCAAAGATAATTGGTTCGAAGCTGTTCTTCATCAAGATTGGTTAAAGTAAGTTTTTGTAAGGTTTACAATTTTCTAGGGAAAAGTAATCCAGGGGTTCAGAAAGCGCGCGATTGCAGACCAATCAGGGAACAAATGTGAAGGCACCTGAAAAGGGGTCAAAAAAATTTGACGGCATCTTGACAGAGGGAAAAAAATGTCAAGGCAGAAGGCCTAAACCTGCTAAGCACATCAACGGTGTAAGTCGACAATCACATAACTCGGTTTGTGACGTCGCAGACTTCCTGTCGTACGTTATTTCTTAAAGGGAAAACTACTCAACGGCATTTCTTTAATACTTTCTTAATTTTCCTTCTGTGTGCAAAGAAAATTCTGCATAAACTTCAAGGAATGATGTCAATTTGTTCTCATTTAAAAAAATAGCATAGAGGAGGAGATTTTCAGACACCGCAAACGAGTTATGTGATTGCCGACTTACACCGTCGACATAGCTTTTTGCAAAGGAAACTGTGCATTGCGCTCTCCTTTGTGAAGAAAATAGTGAAGTGTGCTCTTTTATGGGAAGGAAATAGTAAAATTGACTCTTTTATGCAAAGGAAACAGTAAAGCTTGCAGGTCTCATGTGGACAGCAATGTAAAGGAAACCTCAAAAAATGCAAAGGCTGGCTTCAAAAATGTGAAGGCCAAGAACTTTCTGTAGGTACCCCTGAAGTAATCATTGATTTTTGTAAAACAAGATCATTCAATGGAATGAACCTCAATGAATGAATGAATTAGAAAACCTCATGAGATGAATTTATCATGAGCTTTATGTTACGAACTACCAGTGCTTAAAATGTTTTAATTTCAGCAGAGGAAGTGTAGATTTTGAAAAATAAACACAGACATAATCAGTGCATAGAAAGTATAGCTCTAATTAATTTTAAAAAAATTAGATTCTTTCATATTCTCATGTATTATACCAAACCTCCAGAGTTTTTTATTAGTTTTTCAGTTTCCATCATTCAATAAGAATTCGGACCCTGTAGCCAAACTTGACTTTATTTTAGAGGAGCTGGAGGGAAGAGAAAGTTTATTCCTAATTGAACTGAAAATCGGTCTCTCTTAACACAAGAGCTTGCTCTCCCAAAAACTGAAGAAAACAACAGATAATACTATGGAGGATAGCAATGAAACGCCACCGCTGTTTTTTTTGCAGTCCCTCTGCATTCACACTGCAACTACATATTTGTGGATGTACATATGTGGTCTACACTGGAATAAATATCGAACATTTTTCAAATGAATTTTGTTCATTTGACAAGTACAGAATGTAATTCCCAGAAATGAAGAAAAATTGGTACGAATAAATTAAAGGAAAGCAGTAATTTTTGTTTTTTCATTTCACACTTTCATTGCATAGACACAACAGAAACAGTCGATTAATCTTGTCACTAATTCCTAGAATAGAATACTAATTGAATTTGGCGTTACAACTGATGAAGCTCCTTATCTCTTTAACACAGGAAAATAAACGAATCTCATTCACTTGTTGAATTGCCAAAGCATGAAACACTGTCTGCAGATGATGTCAAAGCTCAGCTGTTCCAAGGAGACTTTTTTCCCCATCCTTGGCGTCGAACCTACATTAAAGTGAGTAATCGTGATTTCATTGCTATACTTGTGCGTTCCTAGTGAAAAATACAGGTGTTTGCAACTCAGGCATCTGAGAAAGAGATTGATGACATAACTGGGTGGATACCTACAGACATTTCCTAAATCGATTTTCTTCAAAATGGTGTGGTTTATGGGAAAAAAAAGTCATAATTCCAAGTGTTTAAAATTATATATTGTATTAAATTATATGCCAAAACAACGAATAATGTGTTTTGTTTTCCATACTTTGAATTTCGGATTTTGCTGGTACCCACTTGCATCTCTCAGAATTCTAAGGGCAAGCACTGTGTGTCTAAATTTTCCGGTGAGGAAGAGAGAGCTTTCTTTGGTCATGGATACAGCAATGCAGCAATATTTATATCAGACTTTTCAAATAAAAGTGTCCAAAAATTCAGGCCTAATTTTCTCACAATTAGCACTTCTCAAGTTAAACTCAAGAGGTTGTAAGGAACATCATGTAAAAAAGTGAAAAATACAGCCAGGACGAAATGCTTATATCCCCAACTACTTTTTTCTTACAATATAATTCCATTTAATGTTTCCGTTTGAATGCTATGCTAAATTAAATTTTGTCATTTGTTCCCTCAGCTTTTCCTAATCAGTATAATTTGAATTCCAGGTGATCAAAAAAGAGGATAAAATGGTTTTACCTCTTGCGAAAGCTCGTAACATTCCTGAGACAAAAGGATCCTCTCAACTCACTTTCTCTCAAATTTTGCACTATGTTAGTGTTACAAACTACAAGAACCTTTGGAAAGAAGCAACTAAGAAGTATTCTGGTAATTCATAATCAGTGTATTAATCATGCAAGGAAGTGTTGATCATAAGGAGAACCTAGAGGGTTTACAAAGAATATTACTAATGTGAACATTTTAAACCTTGACAGGGGTGCAGAAAATGCCCGATTGTTAAAATGTGGAAAAGCCCCCTAAAATGTAGGAGGGAAAATTTTGAAGGGACATTAGTCGTAAGTCAATACAAAACAGAAAAGAAGGTAATCTTCCTTTTAATTTGTGGGAAATTTTGTGGAAAACTGATGAAAAAAATGTGAAAAGCCCGCAGGCGGGCTTTGTCAATTGTATTTTCTTAGGAGCTCATTTCCAAACTTACCATAGTGTGAAATGTATTCTTGTCAAGATTTTGAGGAGAAAACATGTGATGTGTTTTCTTGTTCAGACCTTATCTAAAGGCTCATTGCATTTCAGGTTTAAAGCATGTATTAACTTTTAGAGCATTGTAACTTTGTTATTTCCATTTATCTCATCAAGACAGAATTAATCAACATTACTTTCAAAACTATCCATGTTTTTTTACTTTCTTGCAGTGAGCATTTTCTGAAAATTTGGCGCATTTGACGCGAACCGTCAAAACACGTATTGAAAATATCTTAAAAATAGTTTTAAGTACGAATTTCAATCTCTTATCTTTTAATATCAATTTTTCAGGGTGCTCACTACCTCATAGCATTGAAGAAAATCCACCTGTTACTTCAATCAAGTACAACACTTTGCTCCGTGATGCTATCTGTCGATTGTATGATTGTCAAATCGTCAACATCAGTTCTTCATCATCTTGCACCAGTCCAAGTAAACCATCCTCTCAGGTTCATCGAAACATTCTTCCTGCTTTAGCTGTCCTAGAGTCCAGCAAAAATTTTTATATTATTCAGGTGAGATTAAATAATTCTCAATGTATATTGATTTAAAAAATTTGAGAACCTGTAATGTAATGGCATTATATGTATAGTTTCATCTGTACATATTATATTTTTTTGTAAAGGACTGCTATGTTTTCCAAAAAAACACAATTCACCAACTGCATTTCTTCAAAGTTGTAGGAAATTTTCTTCATGGAGCTCAAATGAATCCTTAAATTTTTTTAGATATCTGGGTGTTACTCTTTTGTAAAAAATAAATTGAACCAAAAATGTGGGCAGAGTTTTACTATATGACAGCAATATTTGCCTATCTTCATAGACTCCTAAAATTTTTATCTGTCAATTGCGAGCACATGAGACACCTTTTTCTGAAGAATTTATCTCCCTGAAAAATTTCCTTTTTGTGTGGCAGAATTGCCTATTTGAAACCTCTAAAATGGCACAGCTCTCCAAGAAATTCTGCAATCTAGCTAAAGCTAAAATTTTCTAAAAATTGCTCTTTAAGGAAATGTTCCTTTTTTTGGTGCTGTACTAATTTTAATTTGCCTTGTTCACATTTTTTTTCGATTTTTTACCTAATACAATTTTGTATCTTTGAAAAAATGAATGAAACCTACGTTGTAATTTGGAAAAAATATGTCTGAATAAGTCCTCAATGGAATCAGCATTAATCTATTTTGCTGTTTTTGAATATATGTCTTTGTTTTTTATCAATTCTGTAAATAGGCGCAAGCATTTTGAATCTTGTGGGTTCGTCTTCAGTAATGTATCATTGGGAAAACTTTCTCAATAACTTCATCCATTAAGGCTCCTTAAAATTTAGTAAAAAAAATCATAAATCCTTAGTAATTTTTAACAGCATATCGTCTTTTTAACTTAATATATTTTTGACCATCTTTTTTCTCAATGATAACTATGTTTTCGTTTTTTTGTTTTTTTCCCTGTAGGATGCAACTTTGGTTTACACTGTTCAAGATAGTGTTAGCCTGAGCCCAGCTTTACTCGGAAATTGTTACTACAAACCATTGTTCATAATTTATCAACTGTTGCAAGCAGCAAAGTGGCTACATGACAGAGGTCTCATGCTTGGCAACATTCAACTTTCTGAAATTTTCATTTCAGATGATTTGTGGATTCAGGTAAGCTCAACACACAAAGCAGATGGGAACTGCTTATGAATCATTAATGTCACTGAACTATATCTTCAGCATGGTAGACTGAACCAGAGACAAAGTATTTTAGAGAATTTGCTCTGCTATTTTTCCTATGGTTGGAAAGTCTTGTTTGGAAGTCAGTGCTCAGACTTGTCAAAATACAGGGGTATTTATTACTAATCGTGAATAATGGATCACTAGACATGGTACAAAATTAAGCATTCTGATACATGTTTCTTAACCAAAATTTTACATAAAACTCGACTCGCGTTAGGAAAATTACTGAAATTAACTCCCAACCAACATAATTAATGTCTCTTGACACGTGAATTCTAACCTCCCGCTCATGAAAACTCAATGGGCTACGTGAGTCAAATGGCATACTAAAAATTGAGGACATTGCACCAAGAACAACCTATAACTGGAAACCGCGTTTTGAGAAAAACGCATTTAAAGTTTTGTTTTTTATGTACTGCGCAGACTTTTCTATGCAGGTACCCTGTTTTGGTGTTTTTGGGTGACCTAACCCTTCTACTGAAGGATGCCGGGTAGATTTTGCGATACATTTTGGGTTTACACTCTAATATAGTTAATTTAAAAAAGCTGTTTATAGGTCGTTATTACGTCCAACAGTCATTATGGTGGCAATATGCAGTATAAATCATTTTAATCACGCATGATTAACGCAAAATAAAAGAATATCGATGGTGAGTATAGAGAGGGGTAACTAGCACATTATAGGCCCTTAAATTTATAGGCCCATATTACGCCCAACAGTCATTTTGGTGGCAAAATGCGAAGTATACATTTTTGGAGGAAAGGATAGTTTGAGAGGAGAATAAATTATTTCAATAGCTCGTTTTTCTGAAAGAAAAACAAATCTTTATAAAATGAGATAAAAAAAATCGAGCCATCACTATCGCCGCGCCGCGCCGATGCCCGCTAACCGAGAATGATAAGACCGCGCGTATAGGTCGTTCTTGCACCCATCGATCCAGAGGCCTGACTTGCCTCGGAAAAAAAAGGTTTTTCGACCTCGAGACGTTACCTATCTATATTCTATCGCTACCACAGCATAGTCCAGGGTACGTAGAATCCGAAAAGCAGATTGGCGTGATAACGACCTATACGCCTATAGGTTGTTCTTGGTGCGGTGTCCTCAATTACCATGACACTCTGCGATATGAAAATCTGGCAACCTCAATCTTGAAGCTCTGGCTCAGCTGTTGCAAGTTGTTTTTAGTTTGAACAACAAAGGGTGGGAAATGAATAGTGCTTGATTGAGGAGCCTGCCGAAACAGTTGTGGTACGCGATTGGACTCATGTAGAGTATTGAGTTCCGTGTGATCGGGCAATTCAAATTTCCCAAAGCCAATGTAAAATAAAAACATAAATATTTTAGGTAGGAAATGATTTTGGAAATTTTCAATGTAGGAATCGTGTTCTACGTGAAATTCTGGTTAAGAGACAAGTAAAAATCTTTAAATTTGTACCTTGTCTAGTAATCCATCACAGTGGCTATGATATCAAACCAATAGATTTGCAGCATTAACTTTCAATTAAATATTTCTGATATCAATATTTTATTCTCATTTTTATTTGAATATTCATTATTTTTTTATGTTACATTTGGTACTGAACCTAGTTTTTGTATCAGGTTTTCATTTCTATATTTTGAAGACCTCTTTAAAAACGGTCTCTCTTTCTTAGCAGGAAAAACTATAAACAGTAAAGGAATTGAAGCTCTTGGATGATATATTAGAAAATTCCAATAATTCGAACCCTTCAAATGTTTGCATCGATAGACATGCTTTGTCAAGTGGATTTTAAGTTTAAATTTTGTAAATTTTTTGGAGCCTTACATGAGTCTAATTGTAAGCAAGAAATATAGTTAAAGTCTTCTCGAACATTGAACTCTGCAAATTCTTATGGAAGCTGGGTCCTAAAAATTTTGAATTTTCTCCAGCTTTTTCATTTTTCTCTGTGCCTTTGTTGTTTTTAATGAATTTTTTTCCAGTTTCTCATCATTCACTGTTTTGGATGTATTGCAGGTGTCTCCAAGATTAGAAGATAATATATTTCATATAGATCCAGGCGAAGAAATTGATCTCGCATCAAATGCAGAAATTCCAAAGCAAAAACATCACTGTGATACAATGTCTTCGAAACAGGTAGACTCGAATTTAAGTCATGCATGCAGGGAGTGGGTCTATGGCAACCTCTCAAACTTTGATTATTTAATGTTATTGAATCGTTTGGCTGGAAGAAAATTTGGGGACCCCAAATGCCACTACATATTTCCATGGGTATCTGACTTCTCTTCGCGTAGTGGAAACAATTTTCGAGACCTCACAAAATCAAAATATCGATTAAACAAAGGTGACCGACAACTTGATCTCACATTTGATGTGTCTGTCAACAACACGTCATCAAAGCAAATTCCGCACCATATTTCTGATGTTTTATCGGAAATCACGTACTATATTTACCTGTCGCGGATAATGCCAAGAAATATTCTTTGCCAGTATGTTCGCTCGAAGTGGGTACCTGCTGAGTATCCCTCCTCCATACAGCGACTTCAATCATGGACTCCTGATGAATGCATTCCAGAATTTTTTTATGATCCTAATGTGTTCAAGTCCATTCATGAGGATTTACCAGACTTAGAAATACCATCGTGGGCAACAAGCTTCGAAGACTTTATCAAGTGGCATCGTTCAATCTTAGAAAACAACTATGTATCAGAAAAATTGAACCATTGGATTGATCTTACGTTCGGCTACAAGTTGTCCGGAAATGCTGCTGTCAAATCCAAAAATGTTTGTCTCCAACTTGTTGACAACCATATAAGTTTGACATCATCCGGAATTATGCAATTGTTCACTCAGCCCCACCCTCAGAAATTAACTCCAGCATTATTTTATTTCAATAACATTCCTTTACGCATTTTCTCTGCTCAAAAGAACAAGTATGGAGACAACAGCTCAAGTGATGAGGTATACAGTGAAGATTTGGATGATTCATTTGATTCTCATACAAGTGTAAAATCATCTTCATCTTCACTTACTCTTTCAAAATTCTTAAGTCGCTCCCGGAACTCATTATTAACGGCTGGTAGCACCGATTCACCGAGTCCAGGAAATAGTGAGAAGTGCAATGCGGATATATATCTGCCACATGATTACAATCCTGCTCAGTTGCTCTCTGCTATTGAATCATATGTTAGTTTCATGAAGAAATCCTTTGCCTATCCTCATGAAACAACAAATGTAAAAGAAGCAGTGTCTGCGCCAGAAAATTTGACTGCAGATGGCATACGATCTTCAGTTACATCCCAGCGAGGGAATGAAATTTATGCACTGTGTTGCGTTGTTGTTGAAATTTTTGCTGCTCCCAAATTGAGAGTTTTTGGTATCACTGATAAAATAAGTCTTAAAGAACGAATTAAGATTTGTAAGTCAGTTTTTGACTCCAGTGTTGAATCTTTTCCATTTTGTGTACAAGATCTCATTCGAGTTGTTTTTGATAAGAATAGAATGGACAATCAAGTTCCATTTGTGACAAAATTTGGAGTTCCTCCTCCGTCAGCTCATCAGTTATTAATATCAAATTTGTCTCTCAGTCTCTTACCGTTTCCAAGTTATTTAGTCTCTGCATACAAGATGTTTGAAACATTCCAGGAATTGTTCCACTTAGTTTCAGAGAATGAAAATCACCCTCTAATAGAAGACTACATCAGAATGTTAACAAACGAGTTTGACAAAGCTGTTGATAATATTCCATACAGCGATAATTTAATCTATCTACTTCTACCGAATATTCTCAAGCTGTTTGAAGAACCGTCAACTTGTATAGTGGCAATTTGGTACATGTTTGATCGTGTGAGCAAACTTCTTGGCACAAAGGGAACCCAAAAATATTTGTCCGACACTGTTCTTCAGCTCTATAACCTTGATAATTGTACTGAGTCTAAGTTTTTGGTGTCCAAACAGAATAAGTATTTGAAATTTTATCATCGTAATTTTATTTTATGCTTAATCATCCGATTCGGTTTTAAAACATTCCTAGAATTGCTGATAACTCCTCTCATTGAAGCTGTAGGTTGTTACCGGGACATCATTTGCAATAAATCAGGCCTTAGTGAGAGAGATTCAATCGATAAAGCAGGCTCTCTGGAACAAAGGGGGAAAAAAGGCGGTATTTGTAAAAACTCTGTCCAAGCTCATGGGGACTCTTTGGAAAGTACTAAAGTGCTAAAAGGACCACGAAATGGACAGGATGAAATTAATTTAGATTCAAATTGTGCTGATATAGACTTTGGAGTTGAAACTTTTGACAACCAGTTCAACGCTCATGATAGTATTTTGGATGATGAGGATGGTTCTGGGAAAAGTGATAATAAAATGAAATTCTCGGAAACTGCTGCAGATACTTTGATTTGGCTCTCAAGTCGTATAGGACCTGTCCTCACAGCTAGGTATGTGACGCGTAATTTGCTACGAATGCTGACGTTATCATACTCGGATGTGAATCATCTGGAAATGTGTGAGCCTATTGAATCCGAGCATGCCTCGTACCTTAACTCAGAAGTAGTTGGGGACAAATTATCAGAAAATATATTGAAATGCCTCATGTTTTGTGTGACCTTGTATGGTGAAAATTTCATAGTTTTGCAGTACCTACCTCACATAATTGACATAATTTCAACCAGCAGAAAAAATAAAATAACTCCAAATTTAGAAAGTGGTCTGATAGGAAGTCTTGTCCTTCTCAAACACATTGTCTCATGCATACCAGTCGAGCAGTTCTCGAGTTTGTTTCAAGACACATTTTGTGATAATATTTTGTACCCATGTATATTGATGATATCATCAAAAAATGTTCAATTCCCCAGTGATTCTGTGAGCCGCTCCTGTCTAATCCTTAAATTTATTGATGCCGTCATTACTATCTCCCTCCTTGTTCCTCCAAAACAGTTACATACAATTTCACCAATCTTGCAAACATTTTTCAAGTGTTTTTCTCACTGTAACCCAAAAAATTTAGAAGCCTCTGCTGCCGAAAAATTACCAAATAACTGTGATGATGTGGTTAGTATTTTAAGAAAAATTTTCTCTCCGAAATTAGCTTACTTGGTGTATGATCACTTTTCGAAACATTTTAGCGAATCATTCATGGAAAGAGTAATTCTCAATCATTCTTTTATCAAAGAACTTTGTGATAGTTATCGTAAATATGCTAAAGTCACCGATAAAATTAATATTGTACGAGACAAGCACTCTGATGGAGATGCCAACTTGTGTGGATCTGCAGGAAGTTTTGGTAAAAGTGTTGTCATTACAGGGAATCGAATTGACTTGTATGAAAGTGAGCCCAATTCCTCTCCAGCCAGCAATTCGCAAAGCAATGATTTTTCCAACAGACAAAGGTACCTCTGTGGAAACTGGCTGGCTTATTGGGAGCATGAATTGAATCAGCTGAATTCAAACTTCCAGTTCAATCAAATCAAGCTTCAGCAGTTCAATAGCCATCAGTCCAGTATAAAAAGTCTCTGTGTACTTGATAATGAGAACAGCTTCCTCTCTGCAAGTCGTGACAAAACAGTCAAAATATGGTCCATACACAATGAGGGAGATGGAAACCATGTGTCCAACTGTCAGTGGACGTACACCTCGCACAAGAAATCCGTTATGTCTCTTGTGTTTGTCGACAAACATCGAGTAATCGCTTCAACAGACGCAACTGTTCATCTGTGGGACCCGTTTTTGGGTATATCTTTGAATCAGATCAACACAAATCACTGTGTCAACACTTTGAAAACGATATCGTCCTCTACGTCAAACATTCTTGCCGCTAATACTGATGCATCTGTTTTGGTTCTTGACACAAGAATCGCACAATATGTGAGTGAGCTTAAAGTGTCAATTGGTCCGGTTGGGTTAATCCGCTGCATTGCTGTATCTCCTGCAGAAAACTGGATTGCAGTTGGTCAAACTTCTGGTTACTTAACTGTCTTAGACTTGCGGACAGGCATGGTCTTACTATATTGGAAAGCACATGAAGGAGAGATACTACAGCTTGTAGCCTATAACGAGTCTACGCTAATTAGCTCGTCTTTAGATCAAAGTGTCTGCGTTTGGAATATAAGCGATGGTAAACTTAAGACAAATATTAAAGGTCTTGTCGAGCCAGTGCACTGCTTGGCACTATTTAATAGTCAGTTGATTTCAGGCACAACAGCCAATAAAATCGGTGTTCACTCAAGTGTCAATGCTGGAGCTACATTTTCGTCAACTAAACTCAAAGCTGAGACTTTCAAAGGTGTGCTCACTTCATTAGCTATGTTACCTTTGAATAGACAACTCTTGCTCGGATTTGACAATGGTGGTATCACTCTGCTTTGTTGAAAACCAATTACATTGAATTTACGAAACTGAACCATCTGTGACTGCGGAAGCTATTCTTGGAGGATATTTTTCTAACAAAAGCTCAAGCCCACGGCTTCATTGAAGGCCATCTGCTATTATATTGCTGTGATGTAGGTTAAGATTTTGTGACAAAATCCTGAATTATCCACTATGTACTAGGGTGAACCTGTGTGTGTGTTTTGTATTTCATAGGATGTTCCTTCATGTTTGTATTCATTTGTTAAATAATAATTAGTATTAAATTCTGCCATGCATTAAGAATGCTGCAACTTACTATTTTGAAAATTTGAACATTTTTTTTTCAAATATAATTTTTTTTCACCAGAAAATCAGCCCTTTGTTTCTCTCTCTATTTTCCTAAATGATCATATCATACTATTGAAAATATGATAAAAACCACCAAGTCTGAAGGTGCGCCGCTTTTTCTTAGATGAGATTTTTTTGGTAAAAATGTAGGCACAAAATCTGATCTGTGGTTGCGGCATTCTTGTTTTTTATGGTAGAGAAATTTTTTACATGCATCTAATGCATTTCCTTATTATTATCTCAGTGAAGTTAAGTATTGATCAATAGATTACACATTTTTTAACCTATTGATTAATGATTTTTGTGTTTAGTTTCAAACTTGAAGTGGAGTTTGTGATGAATTTTCTGTTGGACTTAAGAGGGAATTCGTAGATCAATACTTTTCGGATTAGATATATTTTGATGAATTTATACTGGTGTTTTTTTGTAAAGATGTATGCATTTTTCATATATGTATCAATAACCGACCGATTTCTTTGTTCAACACTGTCAAACAAGTTTGTGTTTTTTGTTTTAACGCTGAGAGAAAGAAAATTGTGATGCACATAGCAGGAAAAAATGTGCCGTGAGGTGGAAACTCACATTTTTCACAGGGCACTAACAGGTTTGGGGCCAAAATCTAAAGATTGTTTTTGATCCCAAAAACTCTCTAATACATCCTTTGAAGAATTTTGGGTAAAATTTTCAAGCTGAATTTCGAATTTTTAATGATGTTAAATTATTTGGAGTAAATTTTTCCCAACACTGTTCCGTGCAAGCAAACTTTATCTGATGTTTCTCTGTTGTTTGCCTTTGAACTTAAAATTGCTACCAAAGGGTCAATTTTTGAGAAATCCTTGAGCCAAATGATACAGAATTAAATCTTGTTCGTTAAGGTAGGTATAGTTGTCTCATATTTTGTCTCCCCCACCTTGCGCAACATTTTGTCCTGCTGTGTCACAATCATTGATTTTTATGAAAACTTGCTGAACTTGAAGAAATTTTTTATGGGAATGAGCAAGAATTTCAGCTTTTGATCTCTACTTTCAAGAAAAATTCATTAGATGAGGCTCATATTGTGACAGAATTTAAAAGCCTCCTTGTCTTTTTTATTGTTTAGAAGTTTTCGATGGACTCCAAATAAAAGCTCTCAGAAGTATACTGCTGTGCAATGCAAAAACGCCGTAAACGCCATTTTAAATTTTTTGGGAACAATGTATTATAGCAGAAAAGCTTGTGTACCTTGGGACAAAATTTTTGCAGAATTCTTTTGCAAATACTATCAAAAACTTAACCTGAAAAGTTGAGATGCATGGGTGAAACATTCTTTATTTTATGAAGTGTTAAGTTCCAAAAACCGCGGGAAAATCTTGATGGATTTACGGCGTCTTTGCTTAGCACGGCAGCATAGTTGAAATCTGTCTTACGATCATGTCATTTAGAGTATTTGCACTCATAATATGTTCAGCTATGCACACACCCTGAGAAAGAAAAATTAATTTGTGAGTATTACACCGATTCTTCTTAATTTTTAATTAGGTCAAAGTACAATGTTACTATTGTTTCAACATCCTCTTTAATAAAAATTTGTTTTGTTCAATGAAAATCAAATGACTCTTCTCTCTGCATTTCCAACACAGTCTCATGGTGCACAACAATTTTGTACCTGTAGCAACTCCACTTTCATTACCTCTAGTGTAATTCTGTTGTTAACCCTCTATGGAATAACGTTAATAATTCGTATCAACGTCTTTTCGGGTTTCTAAAAATTGAATTTTTCCTCTGTGGTATGATTTTGCAAATTTGCATTTGTTTTTCTTTTTTTGAATGATTCCTAAAGGTTTAAAATCTTGAAAAAAAATTTGGTACCCTATGTTTTATATGCAAGCTACAATAAATAGATTAGTGTTCCCCAGAATCCTCCAGAAGTAATTCATGCTGTAGAGGGTTGATAGCCAGCTATTGAGAAATGATTAATCAAATGTCACTTCATTTTTTCTTTAAGGCTTTTTAGTCACAAAGTCGCGTTCAATTTCTACCAAAAACAACCAGCATCATTTGATAACACCTCCATGAAATTAGAGCTTATCTCCAGCATAGTTTGATGACTTCAGAGTTGAGAGAAATATTCAGCAATCGTTTGATTTGCTTGATTGTTCGACTAGATCTAGAATATGTCAATGGTTACTTTGAGCAGGCTGTTGGCTTTATCTAGCCTGATATGCTAGATAGTCCTTTTTTTGGCTTTAATCAAAATTGCTCATACACCTCTCCATTCTTTCTACTTCAAAAATTCTAACTGATACAATTTACTTGAAAGAACATTAAAGGGTCCTGACGAATACGCCTCTTGTCAGCTCTTCCTTCAAGTCCTGATTTTTTAGTTATAAATGAAATAGTGATCTCTCCTAGTGCTGGGCCGTAGATACACTCTCAATTACGAGCAGTGCCTTCAATCACACACATGGACCAATCAATGAAAAAATAAAGTAAGAGAATACATTTTATTCTTTTAAACTTTATTCACAAACAAAGTATGCAAACGCACATAACAAATTAATTAGTTTATCAATTTAAAACATAAAAAAATCATCTAACATTTTGTATCTTGAGCAGAGGAATATTAACACAAAATATAACTTCGTAGGAATAAGATGCAGAATTTTATGCATCGTGTATTGTCAGTGGACTGTCTTACATTTTGGCCCGATTCATTTAACTATAGATCCAAAACTGCTAATCTAAACTATGTGAATTCATTGGAGCTAATTGGATTTGTATGAATTCCAAAGAATTAAAAACAAAGAATCCCAAAATCTAGGATGGCCAAAAAATTATGCACATCAGGTCATACCGATTTCCAAACCTATTTTGAACTAATGTTTTTTGAATTGGCCTTTTTTGGAATTGTTATGAAGTTTTAGCCCTTCCTGAAATTTTCTCTACAGAGTTTTCACAGTTCTCTGCTCACCTACTTACCCCTCGCGCTTTTTCCAAGTTTAACGCCAAAATAATACAAATATCAGCATAGAAGTATGATCAAAGTTACCTGTCTGTTATTAAGGTTCAAAATTCTTCATTTTCTCTGAACACAATGTTATAAAACCAAACTTAAAAAACAAGGTGAATATAAAAAATAAAGGAACATTCCCTGATAAAATATCGAAGGACATTGATGCTACTGATGAAAGGTTGACAAGGCTCAGGTTTAACAAAGGGAACCACCACTACGAGATCAGGTGGGAAAGATGGGCTGTGCTCGTTAGTCGAGGACCGTAAGAATGAATGGGAATTATAAAGCACCAGTGACGTTAGTGGCAACGACGGAGACAACGATCTTCGGATCTGAGTCTTTAACTTTTGAGCCCTTTCCACAAAGCTCTTGGCGCATACCCACGGCTCATGAGTGCCGCATACAGTTGGCGCTTAGTTCTGTTTGGTAGAATGTTAAATCCTGCTTTTCCATTTCACCAAAGTTAATCACGCCCACTTTAAGATTTAACTTATCCAGCTTTCTAGGGCACATCCCATCTTTCCCACTCGTCTATAGTTCTGTTGAGCAGAAATACGTCCAGTTGGTAGCATCCTGCCTCTATAGTTATGCTTAAGCCATTCTCCAGGTGTTTTTTTCCTCGTGTATTAAAATATTTCATTAATTCGCTTCTGACAGTGTCCCGTCAAGATTCATTCGTTCTTTCGTAAAATATGAAATACTTCATTTGACTTCAAGCTTAATTCACGTTATCAATCACATCATTTAAAAACTTAAAACTATTCAGGTATATGGCTGTTAGGTTGACCTCAGTAAAATTAAAGTCTAGAATACTCCATTTCAGTGAACTATTGCATTGGGAGAGATTGCGATCAGGAAATGAGCTGTCCCTGAGCAACGAATATTGTATGCAATCACCTCTTCATTATCATCCCATTTGAATCTCATAATAAACAACCGGCTCATTTATACTTGTTCTCCAAAGAACATAAAGCTATCCAAAATCCAATGGAGGTAAAAAGTTCCTCCTTGGATCATTTTTGGATGAAATTGTCGTCAGTCTCTCTTTTGCTCTTCCCTGAATCCTTCCAAAATCAGGGAAGATTTTAATGAGTGGAATAATTTATTTTTTCGAAAATACTCTTCGTAATATACTCAAGGCAACAGATATCAATCATGTGAGATCAGGAGCTGAACTTGTTACTGTAGGTCCCAGATATACGCTCAGGATATCTTGATCTGATTCCGGTTGTGCAAAGATTTCTGGGCCTGAAAAAAAGGGGGGAAAAGGTTATTTCAATTTTTTCTTAGAATGCAACCTTTGAGTAAGGTAGATTAACTCTTGTTTCAGTTCTGAATCTACAATACTTCACCATTTATTCTCTGTCTTTACATTGAATCCTACATTTAGCAATATACACGGAAGGAGGACATAAATAATTTTTGGAGAGTTGTTAGACTTCTTTTGGTGTTGAAGATCCACGAAAATTTTACCCTCCTGTATCTAAATTAAAAAATAATTGCCTCAGCTGAATATCAAGGAAGTCTCCTTCTTTTCTTGATCTGAAAGTTTCTGTTCAGTCTTTTTTCAGTCCATGTATTTTTAGCCTTCTGATGAACAGTATTAAGTCGTGGAATGAAAGTAAAGAGTCTCCAGAATGTTTGGTGAGGATGTTGGTATCACATCGATGTTCATTTCTGCAATTTTTAGAGGTTCATTGTGCTTAGGCTGCGGCTCAACCTATATTTTGCAAGTAGTGAGGCTAGAATAGTAGGATTTTCTCACCTTTTATGAGCTGTTCGATAGAGTCATCGAATTTAAAATACTGAGCTAGGTCAGGATCGAATCCCAGGCATGTCAGCATTGCAGCTTCTCTCCACCTCCAAAGGTAGATAGGTTGTTTTCTGATAATTAAGTCGTCTATTAATAATTTTAGTCCCTGAAAATTAAAATATTTTCTATAAGTTTTTTAAAAAAAGAGAATCAAGAATTCTTTAAACTCAAAGCATCTGCATCTGCATCAGTCTGTGCATTTTTAATACAGATTTTATGTTCTTTGGTGCAAGTTGTCTAACTTTCATCAAAGTTAAAGGAATATATTGGTCATATTTCTTAAGAGCAGATTTGAGGGGAAAGCTTTTTTTCCATTGGAGCAACAAATCTATAATTGTATAAGTTACTTAGTTCCGAAATGGAAAAAATTTACCGGAAACCATAATTTTCAACTAGGAGTTTGTAAAATTCTGCCTGTGACAGTATCATATCCCATTAGCATTTAAGTATCTACTTACATCATACAACTTTGTTTTTTTTTTTTTTAATTTTTATGCATTACATGTGCAGCTGTTGTCAGATGTAAACTACATATTCTCATCTTCCAATTTTCATTCATAAAAAATAATTTTTAAATGCATCAATATATGCAATAAACGCCCATTCTAATGTTAGAGGCTCGTCGACATCATGTGTTCTTCAATCACGTTTTATTGCACCTCCTGTAAAAAAACTATTTTCATTATGTGCACGGTAAAATTCAATTCGTGAACTTACTTTAGCCATCGTAGAATCTATAAAATGAATGTGTGTGCCATAAACAACGACCGGAGCTAAACTGTTTCGTAGATGACAACTGTCGATTATGAGTTGTCTTAGATAATCTGCGGCAGGGAAAACTAAACTCTGGGTTGGCGTGACCAGTAATACTTCTTCACCTTGTACCTGCAAAGAAAATTAAATAGGGAGGTTGAGCATGAGTGACAGAGTACAGGAAAAAATTCAAACTTCACGTGAGGACATTTTCTTAAAAAATATGCTGTATGATTATTCAGGTAGGTAGATGGCCAAACGATTACTCTTTCTGGTTTTGAATTTTGAATTTTTTTAACTGATTGTTTCATTGACAGAGATTGTATCTGTGCCACCATGCATTGAAATCATAATAAAATGTGACACAAATTTCATATCACTGTTAGTGTATAATACAAGTATTTTTGAATTCCACATTAAATCATTTTTTGTTTATGTCAATGTGTAAAAAACCAATCTAAATCATTAAGTAAAAGTTACATGAATGAATAAAGGTTGTCTCTTACAGTAAGCCATGTTAGGGAGACTTTTGGTCTTGCTGAGCTATAGAGAATGAATAAAATATTGACTAGAATGCCGATTAACATTCCATACTCCAATCCTAGCAGCAGACACGAGAGCAAGGAGGCAAAAAGAGGAATTAAGTCAAGCTCTGGAAAAACAAAAAACATGGAATTCTTTTTTAGTAACGTCAAAGTAACTTTTTTAGTAACGTTCTGTTACTCTTATGAAGAATGTTATATTATACTTAAAAAACTAGAAATTCTGAAGAAAGCATCATGAAATTAAAAATAGCATGAGTGATTTAACACTCTTTCAGTTAGGTATCTCACATATTACACATTCTGAGTTTTAGGTACCTAGTTATAACTCAGGAAGTGGTTTCTTGTTTTTTTGGTTGAGAATCCTCTTTTATGGTGTATTGAAATGTTTGCATGCTCATTTTTGCAGGTATAGTTTTGGCTACTTACCTGCTTTTGAAATCGTTCAGGGATGTCATGTATTGATTGATCAATTTAGGAATGGTGATTTTGAATTGATTACCTCAAGACATCTATTTTTTAGCCCAAATAATCCTTTATCAGGCATATCAAAAATCTTTTGGAGTCAAATTTTGTTTTGCCACAGATCCAAACCAAAGAAAAATCTAAAATATTGTTACAGAAAGTGTGACAAATACCAGAAAACTTACTTTTTGTATGCCAAAGTGTGTAGACAATTTTATATTCTATCATGTGGAACATAGCAAAGAAAATGACTCCAGCCAATGTTGCTTTTGGAATGAAGAAAAACGTAGAAGTAAGGAAGCTCAGTGACAATAACACCAAAACTCCTGAAAAGTAAAACATAATAGGTACGATCATGTGTAGGTAACTTAAAGTGTGATCCTTTCTGTTCGAAGGCTCAGAATGAAATGTGCCGTTAACTTCAAAATAAAGCATGATCAAACAACATGAGCACCTAGTTGAAGTGGTCTACCTATTGATTTGAGCAACTGACATGACTAGGTACCTAGACTATTTTTGGAGGTCATAAGAAGTAGACTCATGTCAGCCCCCTCTTAGGGTCACCTTCGGGCGATCTGATTTAGTTCTGATTCAAGTTTCCTAATTTTAGAAACCTGTTTTTCATTCATTTCCTAGATGTAGTTCTGAAATTGAAAGTTGTCAGTAAGAAATAACGCCAAATTCTTATCTTTTGAGACAAGCTTGGTCAATTTGTTTTACCCAAATTAATTTTACCTTAATTTTTTTTATTTTAAAACTATAGGAATCTGTGCAATTGGCTCCTTGGCTAGTTCCACTAGGCCCTCTGTATTCTCGCATTTCTGACTCCTTTACACTGACTTATTTTGATTTAACTCGGGGTGATTTAGGTACATATTTTGCATTTCTGAGCGCTCTAACAATTTTCAAAGATTGAAATCACAAAAAATTACAATTTTTTTAATTTAATGTCAGAGATGAATGAAAAAGCTCAGTGATTCATGGGTGAAAAATCTATTCAAATGTTAATATCATTCAAATCTGGATAAGGGCGAAACAACTTTAACGTTCTTACCAGTGAACAAGCCGCCAAGTGGTGTGCATACTCCAGATGCATTGTTGACTGCCGTGCGAGTGAAAGAGCCAGTTGTTGGGAGAGACAAGAAAAAGGATCCTAGAATATTACTGAGTCCAACAGCAATCATCTCCTGAGTTGCATCAATACTTTTTCCCTTTGCTAAATTTCAAAAAAAGAAATGTACCATTGTGGAATTGGGAACAATATAGATCATCATAAGCCTCATGAATGAAAAATATGTAATGTTTATGCAATGAGCACCTCAATCTCCGATGTTTAAAATAATATCATCAATCAATACAACAAAATCTGGATTGCATTTAGCAAAAAGGAACCAGCGCAAAAACTGTGTTGCTTAAATGTTGCTTCTTCATAATTGTCGAAAAAGTCTCTCAAAATAGCAAATCGTTTTTACATCCCACCAAAAAATTGTTCATTTCAAATTGAAATAATTTTGTAAATTTTAATACTGTACATATATTTATTATTTTTAAAAGAAAAAAAGAATTTGTACGGTTTTGAAAACACTGTAATCATGCTGGTTCCTTTTTCCTAAATGCAATCCGTTCATTATTCTCCTCTGGCATTCCTCATATGCTCTTGACCGTAGGTGAAAGAAAGTTAAGTTTTGAAAATTTCCCAGAATGCAGGAAATGTCTCTCTAATATTCATGTGCATCTGAGTAGAGAGATAAATGCAGAAATTCAAATCAGACCCAACGGGCCTCTGAAAAAAAGAGAATCAGATTATGGTATGTAAGCACTTACCGAATGCCTTGCCAATGGCAATGTGTTCTAATACTGAAACCATAGGCACTGCAATGAGAGCTGACTCTAATCGTGAAGTCATGTCAAAAAATGAGAGGGTTTTATTATGTACAACTGTGCTGAATGGTGGGGGTTGAAATGGAGGAAGACCACTGTCTACTGGACCTAGAAACATACATTTTGTTTTAATCATTTTTAAGAAATACATATATCTTGTTTCATGCTAGTTTTGAGAGATAGACCCTAATGTATAAAAATTATCAGATCATTGGATGAACTTTTTTTTCTTTCCTCAGCACCTAATGAGGTCAGCTGAGAAGTACAGAGACCAGATATTAGCCCAGGTGTACTCAGCAGCATTCCTCTGCATCGCGAGTTTGGAGGGATTAAAAAATTTAATTCCCATATCATCCTCATTACTTAGTATAAAATCACGTGAGTAACATGCATCGCATAACGCCTGTGGAGCAAAGTGATTCCCGAGGGGTTGGACCCTGAAGCAGTCAGGGGAGGTAGCTGTCCAGTTTATTTGAAAATAGGTATGAGTTTGGTTTTTTTGAGATTGTCTACTCAAGACCATGTTTCATCAAGTATCCATTTTTCTTCTCCCTAATTGTTTATAAGGGAAAATGGATCAAACAAGAGAATGTCAATGATATATATTCCTGCCAGGGCCAGATTTAGTAGTAACGGAACAGTAGTAGGTGGCCGTGGGCGGCAAACTTGCCGCCCATGGGCCGCTTGTATTTTTCCGCCCTCTTCTCATTCGTTAAGTGAACGTGCCGGTGGGGGAGGGGTGTATGAGACGCGTTTACTCGTATTGGGAACAATTTTTGTGAAAGCCTTGTCAACACTAGCAAAAGTTCACGGAACTTCACGCGAAAATTAAGTACCGTAAACGGATGTTCGTACAAGGCCTTTCATTTATAACAAACGAACGAGAAAATTATGAAAGAACAAACATTAATGTGGTTCAATAATTTTAACTTCCGCCGCTGCGCCGATCGCACTGTGTTTGGCGCAATGCGTGAAGTATCTATGCAGTCTTGTGGGCGCTATGCGTTTCACGCCGACCGCTTCTGACCGCACTGTTTGACGCAATGCGTGAAGTATTCATGCAGTCTTGTAGGCGCTATGCGTTTCAAGCCGACTCGCCGACTGCTGCTGACCGCAGTGTGTTTGACGCAATGTGTGAAGTATTCATGCAGTCTAGTAGGCGCTATGCGTTTCACGCCGACCGCGCGCTGCTAACTGCACTGTTTGATGCAATGCGTGAAGTATCCATGCAGTCTTGTAGGCGCTATGCGTTTCATGCAGGCCGCTGCGGGCGTCTCCTTTTCATCTCAGTCCTCGTCGTCATTGCTCCCTACGCTGCTCCGCTCAAGGTCAAATTGCGTGTTTGGTTTGTCTCTTAACGCGACTAATTAAAGGTGTTGTCTCTTGTATCACCGAAAGACGACAAGATTAGCAATTACTATCCTTTTACTCTCGGGAAATGAGAGATTTTGTCCCCCTTTCTCGTTTGTAATTTATTTTCTGAATCCAATTTTTTCTTCTTTTTTTTTATGCCTACATTCAAGAAGATTGCAAAATTTGCCGCCTCTTACATTTTGCCGCCATGGGTCGCTGCCCATGTGGCCACCCCCTTAATCCGGCCCTAATTCTTGTATATATGTATACAGGTATCTAAACTGAACCCGCCTCCTCACGGTGTCCTCCTATGGAAATTATTAGCATTGAAAGTCAGGACTTACCTGTCAGTTTGAATGGCTGGAATCCATTTTGAAAGAATATGAAAGCCAACACCGTTCCTATTAGAACCACAATGGCGTTTTTTGCGAGACCAAAAAGCCATAAGAAGTTATGAAGAATTTTCCGAGCAGTAGTCACCTCCTCTTGACATGGAGCTCGCGGTTTAAAATGCTAGGAACAGTTAAAGTCACAAACTTCATTGAAACTACATAGAAATAATCAGATCTGTGAAATAGAAACTGCAAAAGTAGCACATAATGCAAAGTATATTCATGTCGAGTACCTACCTATCTCTCATCCTTTGGTATAGGTAATTATTTATATTATCAACAAGCAATGAGTTGAAAGTATTTTGTCCCCCCTGATTTTGCCGACAAAAAAAGGGCTCAGTAAATGCAAAGCCATAGCCATAGGTAGTTAAGACCCCTTCTGTATTTTTTTAAAGTGCAGATTGGGTAGATATAGTAGTCCTCAAAGATCTGCAGCATTTTTTTTTTTTTTTTTTTTTTTTTTTTTTTTTTTTTTTTTTTTTTTTTTTTTTTAAGAAGGAAGGAAAAAAATCCTGCCTTTTTTCCTATTACTTACCTACTTTGTGCTCAGCCTGATTCTCTGTGCGAATAAACAATCTAATCAAAGAGTATCCACACTATTGGGACACGGTTTTGGGTGTCATAAAACAGAGAGGTGTTTTAATGTAGATGGACTCGTAACATCTTTCTTCAGGACGGTATTGTGGTTCAGTGCAGGGAGAAACGAACAAAAGAGGTGTCTACTTACATGGATCGCTGTTAAAATTATGATAGTGACAAGTCCAAGAGCTGAATCCCCTATGGTGAATGTTTTGTAATTAGCAAATAAATTCTCAAGACTAGACATGAATGAGTTTGATGAGCCTGACAACCCAAATAAAGGTTTGATCTGAGAGGAGGCAATAGTGAGAGCTGCTGCAGAAGTGAAGCCAACAGTCACCGGCAAAGAAATAAATTCAACTAAAAAACCTAAGGAATCACAAACAAAGGCACTTTAAATTAATCAAGCATGTATAACAAGCACTCGTGTGGGTTATATCTAAAAATATATTAATTCTTGTGCATTAGCCGAAAAGTGCAAGAGGAGTGTGTCGAGACTCACCCCAAAAGCGAAAATACCTAAATAAAGGAAAACTCAAGGAGAAATATTTATACGAATTTTTCGACGCCTTACCCAGGATTTTATAGGCGGAACTTTAGTCCGGCTTCTTTGAATTACTTCGTCATTGATTAATTATTTTTTTTTTATTTGGTCTACTAGTACGCTAGTTCGATATTACTCTGAGGCAACGTTAGGTGTGAGAGAAACATGCAAAGTGCCCTTAGTTAGTGTCGCATGCGAGTGCAACAATCAATAAACAAACATTCAACGCCCTAATGCAACTATTCGAGCTCCACGGATGTCCGTGTTGCATACGCACGAAAGTGAAGGCGTTTTGACTCTTCAGGCATTCAAACATTCAACGCCTGGATGTAACTATGCGGGCTCCACGGATGCCCGTGCTGCATACGCACGAAAGTGAAGGCGTTTTGACTCTTTTAAGAGTCAAAACGCCTGAGGCATTCAAGATGCTTCACTCGCGGCCCTCGACGCAGCGCAACGAGGAGCGGGTAGCTCTGTGAGAATCCAAAAAGAAACATGCAGAGCACCCTCGGTGCTTCATTTCTGGTGCAAAAACATCTCTTAGACTCAAATAGTTATTTTAAAAATTATACTCGGCACATCGCGATATCAAAAAGTGAAGCTCAAAGATACATCGTAAACCTGTATGCAACTATTCGTGCTGAATAGACGTCTTTGTATTGTGAAGGAAGGATTGATTTGGATCCTCGCAGTGCTGCCCACCGCCGCGGATGAAGAGGTGAGTGCTTGGAGAGTCAAAACGCCTTCACTCCCGTGCGTATGCAACACGGACATCCGCGGGACTCGAACAGTTGCATCCTGCTAGTAAAGTAAAATTCGTTAAAAATTGTCACATGTGATACTAACGGAAAAAGCTGTGCTTGTTTATCTTACACCTTAATTTAATTCCAGCGTTGCCTATTGTGCCGACGGAGTAACCTGTTACTGATTTTTAACGTGACTCTGTCAATTTTCCGAAAAAAGGTTCTGCACGGTATTTTATCATTCTTACCCATGCCTGCATGCTCCTACCTTCCTCACTGATCTACCTTCGAGTCTTTTTATCTTTCCTGTTGTGGACTCATTCGCTTCAGAAATCTTAATAATTACGACGGTGGAAATTTTCAACAAGACTCACCTAAATGTAAAACTCCAAAAAGTAAAATTATACAGCCGCTGAGAAAAGTGAGGAGAACAGAGAAGGCCGGTCCGTATAGTTTAACATATTTGCCGGTCATCAGGGCCATAATCGCCGTCGGCCCAATCGTTATGTCCTTACAGCTACCAAAAAATATGTACATAAAGCAGCCCGCAAAAGCAGAGTACAGCCCATACTGGAAAAAATAAGAGGTGAAAAATACTTTAGATTATAATCCCAACCAATTTTCAGGGGTAAGTTCATGGATGAAGTCATCTGTAGCGGACGACTCCGTAACTCACATTCATGGATTTTTATTTAAGTAATTAATTACTTTACAATCAAATATTCAAGCGGATTTGCCAGATGATGTGTTAGAATTCGACTATTTGACGTTCCTAATCGTGACCATCAACGAAACTAAGGCGCAGAAAGGACTGATGCACTTGTAATAATTTCAATACGCCGCCGCCGACGCCACGAATTACACTTATCGCGGGCAATAAAACTAATAAAAAAGGCACGCCCGTGCGCACTCGATTTAGCGCCTTCAATATCGTATGAATACCTCAAACGCTACACCGTTACACATACGCTCCGATGCGATGCGATGTGCTTTCCTGTACATACTGTGCCTGCTGGAATGCACACCGCCCGCACCGGCCGTCTCGTGGATATTCTCACTCTATACAGGTAGGTACACTAGAGGGAATGGACGAAACGGTGCCGAAAAAAAGTGAGGTTTCAATTTCTCATTCACAAAATACTATCGTAGAGTTACACAACTCCGCTTAATTTGGTTATTTAACTTTAAATGCATCAATTTTTTAGCGAATATTAGCCGGCAGAGTGCATTGTTTTTTCACCTTATCAAATTTTTGGGCAAGCAGCTTATCCTCCTACAGTGCTGCCGTTGCGTGTGTAACTAGTAAGTAGTAACTATACGAATTTCTGCTTGATCACAACTCAGTTCTGAGTCAATTACGCAGAACGTGTTTTTTTTTTTTTTTTTTTTTTTTTTTTTTTTTTTTTTTTTTTTTTTTTTTTTTTCTTTTCTTTCTCCAGGATGGATTGCAGTCAGACGCATGCGTCGTTTAGACAGAACATCGGTAATTTTGCCAACCAATGTCAAAATTCACAATCTGTATATTACTGTCATTCTCCTTTTCAGAGGGAAAAGGTTCATTTGAGCATGATTTTTCCCTTAGAGGAGCTTGCTGCTTGGTGCATAACACTAGTTACGACCAATCAGGGAGGAATCTGCAGATGCTGTTGTGGTCTAATTGGACCCATCATCAGTGTCTCTGGGTTCAATCTCACGAACTCAATAGTCCGGTCGATACGGAATACCGAAAACTCGGCTCATATCTATGATAGAACTTTTATTCTCAGTGTAATCTCTTGAAATTTCGCGAGGGCAACGATAGTGCCATTGGTTTCACCGCATCTACCTTAGGTGTGGACTTCATTTCGCAATTAGAAACTACAAATTCTGGCTCAATCAGCTTAGAAAGAGCGTATGTACTTTTTCCCCCCTATGCTTATACGTGCTTTTACGGATGAGCGCAAAATTACAGCTCCCACAACTGCAAAATGAAGTCCACATCGACGGTGTAATTCGGCAATCAGATAACTCGGTTTGCGACGTCGCAGACTTTCCTGTCATACTTTATTTTTAACCAGAAAACTACTCAACGGCAATTCTTTAAAACTGCCGTGATTTTTCTTCTCTCTACGAAGAAAATTCTGCAAAAACTGCAAGGAATGATGTCGGTTTGTTCTCCTTTAAAAAAATTACATTGAGGAGGAGATTTTTAGACACCGCAAACGAGATATGGACTGCATTTTGCAATTCGGAACTATAAATTCTGGCTCTTCTGGAAAAACACTTATGTGCATAGGGAAACTAATGGTACATACGTTGTTTTCAAACCGGGCTAGAATTTATGGTTCCAAATTGCAAAATGTAGTCCATATGTGACTGCGGACTTACGCCATCGATATGTAACCGATGTGAAAATGCAGGGTACCTGGGGCGGAAGTCCGGCTACCACGGCGTAGGCGATGCCCTGAGGGATGGCGGTGAGGCCGACGGTGAGGCCAGCGATGAAGTCCCTGAGGAGGGTGTTGGTGGTGTAGGTGGGAACCCACGACAGGATCGGGAGACGCCGTCGGAGGTTCGATGGGGTGCAGCAAACCGACGCAGCCTCGTTCATCGTCATCAGCCAGTTGCTCTCGTTCTCATCCACAAGACCATCTAAGATAAGATTAGGTAAATTTTATTTCAAAATGTAAGCATAAAAGAAAAAAACAATATTATTCTGCCCGGCAAATTGGGATACCCAATTATTCTGCCGGATCAGACATAAAAATAAATACAAATTTTATAAATACCAGAAAAAATAATATAAGAAATACGGCGACATTTTTAAAACTAGAGGAAGACACAAATATAATACAATTTAATTAAATATAAAAAATGAAACAAAATAAATAAATATATATAGTAATAGAATCCACAGACTGACAGGTTTCATCGTCGATGCATGAAGATGGAACTTGCAGTCAAAATTTCATGCAGAACGTGTTTAACACTCTACAAACGCCCAAAATCAACACTCAATAGAGAGTCTAGGATTTATTGCTCACATCAGAGTTAGAGAATTCAAATCTCCTGCTCGCCGAAAAATTCAAAATCAGTTCCTGTTAAATTGGTTACTTAAAAAAAAAATCTCATTATTATAAACGCTCATTTACATAAAGAAAACGCCATTGCAATTCTGAAATTTTGCAATTGAGCTAAGTGTCACGGTAGCTCCACCGTAGAAATAAGTTACACAGCTCTCTCTATGTTGCACACCTACGCACATCACTTGCGCGCCTTCAATTTTCGAGGTGGGCCAGAAAACATCTTCCTTAAGCTCTGCGCTTTGTTCGGTGATTTGTGTCTCTTGCTTTGTTCACTAATATGCGTAGCTCCAACCTGACGATTTTGATGCTGCAGCTTTTCCTAAAGAATCTGTTTTAATTTAAGTACAAATAGTTCACTTAAGTTCTTTGAGAAAGCACATTTTTCCGTCTATCTCTTCTGAGGTACGTTACTAGCCACTACATGCTCAGAAAAAAATTGCTTCAAGTATAGAGTTAGCTTTGATTTTTCTGAATTATACATAGCACGAGAGAACTTCATACATATCACACCTATAGAGACTCTCCTTATCACATAGGTACTCAGGCAGGCACATGGAATGAGAAAGAAAGGAAAGATTTGAACTTTATTGAGCGCGTGTTTCGAGCGAAGTGAGAGGGGTTGAGAGGAGCAATATTTGGATGTGGCGAGTCGATGAGAGGAACGGTAATAACATCAAGGAAAAGAAAAAATAAACAAACAAACAAAATACCCATTAATTCCTCTACATATGTAGTCGTGTTAATTTTTGACCTTGAAATTTCAAACCACCCGGAAGCTGATTCTTTAGTCGACGCTATTGAAAAATAGAAAATAAATTGCCTTAAGTTAAGGGGCAAACTTTCGGATTAGTAAGTAGCGCAAAACATTATTTGACGTCCTACGTGTTTGTAGGTACCTATTATCGTGAACTTTACTCAAATCGCATACCTAGTTAGCCGAATTTACTGTTTTAAAACCAATTTTGTGAATTACTTTTGAAAAACTTTTGACTTGAACCTCCAGTGTCAAAGTTGTTAACAGGTGCGACAGGTGATAAACATTAAAGTTTGGCATCAATTAATCCTTCTCTTCTCACCCGCTCCCATCTACATACTCCCTTTAAGAGCGCCGCCAGTTTTTTTTTTTTTTTTTTTTNTTTTTTTTTTTTTTTTTTTTTTTTTTTTTTTTTTTTTTTTTTTTTTTTTTTTTTATCTCACCTAGAGTTTTTTGTGACGTACATAAGTAGGTAATTGCTGGTGTCAGTTTTCGAAAAAGTGTGTGGTGCGCATTGCAGGTTCCGAAATACATCAATGTACACTGACGTTAGTATCTGTCCTAAAATATCGGTGAAACAGTATGTATACCGGCCGGGGAGCTCCGATACCCGCTGATATTCGATGCTAACAGTTAACGCCATCTATCAGACAAGTTCCATACTAACGTACTAACGTCCTATCTCGTATTCTAAGTAGAAGAAAAAAAAACACGCAGCGCACGAAAGTTGTTAGGTACTTAGAGAGACGGATCTGCTAAGAAGTCTAATTTATTTTACAGATTTAAGTCTAAAGTGTAGGAAAGTCTGTAAAGTCTTTTTTAGGTTAACTCACCGAATCTGATTCCGTCGTCCCTCAGAACGTCGTAGCTGCTAGACATTTCCCGACAGCGGAGAGAATAGAAATAAAACTAAACCCGCGAGTTAGCGGACACGAAAAACAGGTGCGCGGATTAAATTTTGAACGATTTTCCCATCAGTTATGGAACGGATAAAAATCCTATTCATTCGATAAAAAGAATTTTTCAAACTCGTATCGGTCGTTACAAGCAAAACATAACCGCGAGACTCAACCGGCCTCGTATCTGTCTGCTCGTTGCATAATAACGCAACGCCTCTGGTTGCCTACTTGCGTATTATAAAATTTGCAGATAATTTTTTTCTGAGTGTTACGTGAAAGCGGGTGGAGGACCGCGAATAATTTATTCAGTTCGACAATCTATTCTATTGTGATCGTCTCGTCTGTAATCGCGGCAAATTTTACTCTGTAGTTATGTTTGATGGTTCCTTAATTTATTTTATTAAGTTATGTGGCACCGATGCAGACTTCATTCCGTGGTCGGCGGCTCTGCCGCGCCAACAAGAGTTGATTCAACTTCGTGGAGAAGCGTCATGCTCGCAAGAGCGCCATAGATTCGAACCTCGTCGTGCCAGGAGCGCAGCAAGAGTTGAACTTCAAGAGGGGAGATGTCAAAAGATGAAGCCGAAAAATGCGTATCTCCAGTGCGGCTTTTTAATTTGCGACTTTTTTTTAATTCAACAAATTCACTGGAGAAAAAACACATTGGATCTAGAGTCCAGACTCTTGAAAACATTGACAAGTAAAATACTCTTGATTCAATCAGATTTAAGCTTAAATCAAAAGGAAATCTGCTCAAATTAAGAGGATTGGTTCTTGATTTAAGCAAAAATCCGATTGCATCAAGAGTATTTTTTCTTGTCGATGTTTTTAAAAGTCCGGACTCTAGATCCAATATATTTTTTTCCAGTGAAATATCTTCCTGATAGCTATGAATATTTCGATCTCATTTAGCAAAGAGGAACCAGCGTGATTACAGTGCTATAGAAATGTTGCTTCTTCATAATTGTCGAAAAAATCTCCTAGTATAGCAATAGATTTTGCTTCCCACCAAAAATTGTCAATTTTAGAGGAAAGTAGTTGTGTAAATTTTAATACCTACTGTACATAATTTGAGTACTTTTAAAGGAAAGAAGAGGTTGCACGCCTTTGAAACCACCGTAATCGCGCTGATTCCCTATTGCTAAATGCGATACATATTTTAATACCTTCGAGTGTGCAGTACATAGGGTGGCCCAACTTTGAGTTTTTCCCGTAATGAGACCTTCTAATGGGGAAAATTCTTTTCACCGAAAATTTTGATAGAATGGAGGAAAATGCCGACCATTTTCGAACTTGGCGCAAAAAAATACATTAGGGGCATTTATCACAAATTGAGATTTTTTTGGAATGCATAGATACTTGTGTAATTAGGTACTTATACCAGACGCGGCGCAAATTTCAAGAAGGAGAGAACTTCGGCTCTTTGCTACTAATATACGTACCAGACTTAATTGTGTTTATTAAGTTTCGCCATTGCACCTGGGAAATCATATACGTCTATTTAGGCTTGTGATGTTGCATAGATTTCCTGCCCCATTACATTTTGTCAAAGGACGAACAGTTATCGTTTTGGTTCCAATGTCCGCGCGATTCATCAGGATTGCTCCATGAAAATTTCGCACAAAGTTATCTCAAAGGGAAAAAAATCCGAACAAAGGACGGTTCATTAAAGTAGGTTAAATAAAACTCTACATATCATGCTAAGACACTTAATACTTTTGCGATTTTGAGGGCCGGAAATGTTGTAATACCTCTAAATAATGCATTTTTCGGAATATTGACGATTTGAGGCAAAAATCAGTACTTAATGGTTTTCTTCATCGGCGCAACGATTTAGAGATAAAAATCAATGATGGTTTTCTTCATCGGCAAAACAGACAACGCTGGAATTAAATTTAGGAGCAGTAAGAGGAACAGTTATTACCTGGAAGTTCAGTTAGCGTCGCACGCGACGGATACCAATCGAATTTGATCATAACGCCTGGCGGCCTGGATGCAACTATTCGAGCTCCAGGGATGTCCGTGTTGCATACGCAAGAATCTGAAGGCGTTTTAACCGCAGACACCGCCTCACCAGTGGCATGGCGCTCAGTGGAGCGAGTCAATGAGACGAGCTCGACAAAGTGGGGAAACATTAAAAGCTCATATCGATGTTAATTCGGAACGTAGAGGTTTTAGAGGTGGTTTCATTGATTTTCTCGTAGAATATCCTTCAAGAAACATCCCATAAAATGTATAATGTGAGGAAATGAACATCTCAATTTGCAGGTTTAATCGAAAATTTCATGTCCGACCTCTCTGAAGGGCTCGTTTCACTGTGCGGCGAGTTTTAAGGCGAGGATTTAAAATGGCAGAGTGCCTCCAATCCGTCCTTTATACTTTGAAGACATGTAGACATATCTTAAGCATGAATGGACCACTAGACAAGGTACGAAGTTAAGCATTCTGATACATGTTTCTAAACCAAATTTACGTAGAACACGGGTTGCGCAACGAAAATTACTGCAATCAACTCCTAAGCAATATACTAAATGTTTCTTGACGCGTGAATTCAAACATTCCGCTCATGAAAACTCGATGGTCTACGTGAGTCAAATCGCACACTAAAAATTACCATGACACTCTCTGCGATATGAAAATCTAGCAACCTCAATCTGCTCCCTCCTCTCTGCTTTGGCTGAGCTGTAGCAAGTTTCTTATGGTTTCAACAACACAGGATGGGAAATGAACAGTGCCTGATTGAGAAGCCTGCCGAAACCGTTGTAGTACTCACGTAGTGTATTGAGAGTTTCGTGTGATCGGGCAATTCAAAGTCCCCGTAACCAATGTAAAATAAAAACGTCAATATCTTAGATAGGAAATGATTTCGGTAATTTTCGATACAAGAATCAAGTTCTACGTGAGAATCTGGTTGAGAAACATGTATCAGAATCCTTAAATTCGTACCTTGTCTAGTGGTTCATTATTTGCTCTACAAATCAAGCTCAACATTATCGGGATATCAAAACTGAGGCCTAAAAGATACTCACATTCTACACCTATATGAAAGTATTAGCGCCTATGATATTTTTGTAGTGTAAATGAGGATTTGAAAGCGTTATGCTGTTTTGGACCCTCGCGGTGAAACCCGCCGTCGATGCCGCGCCGCCAAGGGTGAAGTGAAGTTGTGAGTACTTGGACAGTCAAAACGCCTTCCTTTTCGTGCGTATGCAACACGGACATCCGTGGAGCTCGAATAGTTGCATCCAGGAGTTAAACTGAGTGTTCACCGCATTTGACACGAACTCAGGGCACTTAGCATTGTTTTCCTCGCACCGTAACTGAATTCCAGCGTTGCCTATTGTGCTGATGAAGTAAACTTCTCCCGATTTTCATCGCGACATTGTCAATTTTACGAGCAATGTTTTTATTTTTTAAATATATAACAAGTTGACGTCCCAAGATGTGACCTGCGGCCCCTACTTCCTCAGAGCTGATGTAAGAATGATGAATGCGGCAAAATCGTTTCATGGGCACTTTAGGAAAAATTTGAGCGCGCATCTCAAACGTATTTGTATTTTTCTCGCCAAGAATTTAGAAAAAAATACGGTCAGGACTGTAAATCAACCTACGGTGCGGCAGGACCTTAAGTATTCAAAGAAAACCGGCCTAAAGCTCTCACATAAAAATCCAGACAACTGCAGGGTGTCTACTGAAGCAGGCTGGCTACAAATCAGTACTTTAATAGCATTTTTTCAGTACATTCCCAAGAAATTCAGTACCTCCTCAACAGGAAAATTCAGTACTTTTTTAGTACCTCCAATTGACGAAATTCAAAAAATTTCAACAATTTGAATTTCTCGCTCAAATTGCGACAAAATGACAAAAAATTCCGGGCCTTCTTGCAGAATTTCCGCACTTTTTCAGTACTTCCGGACTGCCCCTGAAAAATCCGTACTACTTCCAGATTTTCCGGGAATTCCAGACTTGTAGACACCGTGGTAAGACGTTGACAAATCTTCAAGCTTCAAGCTTCTTCTTAAATTGTGTATTATTTATGTATTTGAGTTTTCAAGCGACCTTTACAAACGTATTTACTATAGGTAATTTTGTACCGCCAAGCCTGAGAAATCTCTTCCTGGAAAATGTGAACCACTTCATGGCGCCGTAAGTGGATTTAATGAGGCCTCAAAAATATCCGGAGAAGATACGAGAAATTTCTAAGACTTGGACGGAAGCGGAGGCTGAAGTGAAAAACCGAAGAATTTCAAAGCTCGAATCTCATCGAATGCGGCAAAATCCTCAAATGCATAGCTACAATTGAAACAAAAAATTGTGAGAATCGGCCTGACATGACAAGTGACCAGATCTCGCTGGTACAAGAAATAGTACAAGAAGATGAGACCTTTTATACCCTCGTATTCACCCCTTATAAACCTCACTCAGACGTTCCACCACTACGGGGAAGGGTATAAAACAAAATTTTAGGAATCTGATACGGCTTATCCCGCCCATTTCTTGCTATTGAAGCCGAATATGGTCTCAGTTTTTTGCCTACCAATCTCTCGGAAAAATCATTTTTCTAATGGAAAAAAAGTGTTTTTCATGGTAAAATTAGGTACGTACAATTTCTGCTGGCGTGGATTAATATCATCCGATTTGGATAAAACTTGGCAGAGGGTCTTTTTAATGAAATGAATTAATCTCAGGGGGTAAGACCGAAAAAAATTCGACCTCGTCAAATGGCTATCCTAGTGTACATTACTTTTCATTCACTTTTCGTGCGGTCGTGCCCAGGAGGTGTTCGTATCTCTTGTGCGCATTTGCTGCGCAACAGAGCCGTTAAATAAGAGAAATTAGAGACTGAGCACTTACGTTGTTTCAGCAGATACGGCGACTGAGAGCCAAACAGTCTGGCAGCCGTCTGCTGGTTGCTCTCTGTGTCCGGTGACATTGCGACATGGTAACATTGCGATATGTCCTCATCACTACTGCAGCCTGATACTGTCATGTTCCCAGATGGCACCCTTCCTCACAGCAGAGTCATTTGCCTAGGGAAAAAGAGAGATATTATGAGCATCCAAGTGAAAACCTGCCGAGTGAGCGAAAACCTGAAAAGTGAAACTTTGCGATCTATCGATTAATCTGCCATTTAAACTCATCGGGAAGGATCGATAAACAGTGTGTTTGCAACATACACCTCGATAATCGATTCTTTGCCATAGGTTCAAATGGAGAAATATCGATAATCGATCATTTCATTGCCGTATAAAGAGTGTGCAAAAGTCCATGGGAATAACGAGTCAGAGAACGTTGACTCGGCGAGTTTGAAAAATTGCGCTGAACACCTTGCGGTCAGCATGGTCGCATATTAGCGCCCACAAGACCGCAGGGATACCTCACGCATTGCGCCAAGTGTTACCCACGCGCCAAGCAGTGCGGTCGGCGAGAGACGCATATCAGCGCCCACGAGACCGCGGGAATACTTCATGCATTGCGCCAAACAGTGCGGTCGGCGAGAGGCGCATTGAGCGCCTACAAGACCGCTGGAATACTTCACGCATTGCGCCAAACAGTGCGGTCGGCGAGAGGCGCATATGAGCACCTACAAGACCGCTGGAATACTTCACGCATTGCGCCAAACAGTGCGGTCGGCGAGAGGCGCATTGAGCGCCTACAAGACCGCTAGAATACTTCACGAATTGCACGTACCCCACGGTTCGCGCTTTAAGCGTTGAAAATTTCTCGGTACCGAATCCACCACGGTTCACACCATTTCCGTCCAGCGAACCTACAATCCGTGGATCGGAGGATCGCGGAGATTTTGCACCCCTAAATGGTATTCGTTTCAAAAAATAAGTTTAATACTTTACACATGCAGTGCGGGTCATATTAGATATTCAGCTGTTCTTTTAGCTGACCTAGTATATCAGGCGGGGCAGGATGTTTCTTTTATTCTTTGCATGGTGCTTTTCACTTACTCGCCCTCCCCTAGATTCCCAGTGTTCGTAACAATTTCCATTCTCGATTTACTTTTTTGGGCATGAAAATATTGTGCTCGCGATCAGCCCGGTCAGTTTCCGAGCGTTCGCTTGAAGCATAGCGCCACCTTATCTGCGGTAGATCGGTCTTTACTCATGACGTCACCATTAAATGTTTATCTTTCCGGCGAGAGAGGTCGAAGTTGCGCGCGTGCGAGGATTACGAGGATGATAAAAAAGAAAACGAGATAGTACCGATGACTGTTGACTGTTGAGTGACGTAGCAGGAGCTCATCGCATAGACCTAATAATAAACGTCAACAGTGAGAACATGACGAGCGACTTGATATTCCTGATTGCAGGTGAATAGCTAAATAATTATTATCACGTGCTCTATTAGTTAATTGTGAGTCGATTGATTTGTGTTCAAAACATTCCTTCGCACACACGAACGATCTTTCCCAAACTGACAATGAGTTGCACCGAGCCAGCTCTTCATCCACCCCCGCCCTCCATTTTTTGATAAGGAATTTTCATTCTCACGGAAATTCAGTTAACTCGTAGGTTCAGTGCACGCCAAGCGATGCAAAGCATGCATTGAACAAATACTTTTGAGGGAAGTGAAATAAGAGCAGAAATTTTTACACGAAACAATTTAGATCAGTTTTTTTTCTCTGATGGTCTAAGTACTGATATGTCGACGGTGAAACCACCAGACCGCTCCCATATTTTATTTTTTTGAAGGAAAGCAAATTAATATCATTTCTTATTGAAGTTTTCACAGAATTTCCCTCGCACAGAGAAGGAAAATTAGGTACAGGAGTTTTTGAGAATCAACGTTGAACACCTAGTTTTCTATGGGTTCCAGAACATTTCGTCAAAGATTTTTTGTCCGCGCACCTGTTTTGACCAGTAGTTTACGTCCACACGTAAAATAAGCAACAGTGATTCTGTCTAAGCATTATATTTTAGTACGTATGTAAAATCGTATTGACATTATCGAAATGAGAAAATTGAGAGGAAATGAGGTGTTGTTATGGTGACTTATGTTTAGATGTTACTATCTCCTTTTGATTCATCTTTTCAAATTGTCATTATGGTGAATATTAGGTTTTATTTCTATCCTTAAAGTTTTCGACATGAAGCATACCATATATACCTTTTTTTTTGAATGAAAATATTACTTCATTTTAAAAACATTTAAATTTTTAAAACGTGGCAAGTCCTTTCTAAGAGATGGCATCGATATTAATATCATTTAGCCGTAGTGTTGTTGAAAGCAACTACAAAAATGAATAAAAGAGGGGGAAAAACCAAGATGCACGCAATCATTGGTATTTTTACATTGATCTTTTAGGGTCAAATGCGTCCAATTTTGGGCGTTTGGTTGCAAGTGCACCACGCTGCTGCACAGTAAACGCACAAAATATAAAAGAAAAAATTAAAGTGCTTTGGAAGTCATTAAATTTCACACGGAAACACCTTAATATTTACAAAACACACATTATATTTTCTTTTACATATTTTTTTTCCATCTATTTAAATGAGAATAATCCACGCAGAGTGTACAAAAATTTCAAAATCACGAGTTGAAAAATGCTGACTCCACGAGTTTAAATATTAGAGCCGAACACAGAGCGAAGCGGCCTACAAACCTAAGTGGATACTTCACGCATTGCGCAATGCTTGAAGTATCCACTTAGGTTTGTAGGCACCAATGCAAGTTGCGCTTCGACCGCTCTCTCGCCGCGCCGCGCCGCAGCGAGGCACGGCGCGCGGCGCCATAAGCAAACTATTTCACAAGAGAGGTGTTGCACAGTATCATACGAAATTGAAGGCGCTCCAGCATGTTAAGGATGACAGGCATCCTTAAAGAGTACGGAGCTTTCCTCGCAAAATAAATCAAGATACTCCGGCACAAAAAGAGAGCTGTAGTCCAAAAAATAAGTAAGTGATAGCATCCGTATTTAATGACGTTTAACATAATTTTTGGTGGTTAGGTGAAGAAATATTCATATACATGGAAATAAAGTTAGATAGACCTTTTTTCGCCTGTCATCTAGATTTCGATACCACGTTATTTGTGACGACAACCTCTTATGGTAAATTTTATAGGACTGCGGTAGATATCGATGGTTAATGTCGCAAACCACGTATCTGGATTGCGGCGTTTCAAAATTTCCGCTCCTATTTTAATTTTCGATGAGAAAAAAGCCAACTATATACCTTGAAATGTTTGACTAGTTCTCCGAGGAAAAAATAAAGTATGACATGACGTCTGCAACGTCGCAAACGGAGATATGTGGTTTCGCTCTTTGGCCATCGATATCGTTAATTCGTCTCAGTCTGCTGAAGACCTCGAGACTAGCTATGAAGCTAAGATTGGTTCGAGAACCATTCAATGACTCTTTCACATATTCGCACATCGTAATTGCACATGTTTACTGTTGCTACTTAAGTAGAGACCGATTTGAACGTTTATTGCTAAGAAGGCTCAAGCCTCCAGAACTCTTGAACTCCGATTTCCTCGTTCATCTCGATTGATAGGGCCAGTGAATTTAGTTGCCAAGTTTTTCCTCTAGTAAATGCGGTTCAGTCGGACTGGTGCGTCATGGCTGTGTGTTAGAATAGCTTAAGTTTGAAGTGCGATTCGTCGAGATCGCGGGTCGATTCTTGAATCGTTATCGAATGACCTTGATCGATAACTTTCTATCTTAACAACGCTATATATCGATCAATGTCATTCGATAACAATTCAACAATCGAGCCACTGGTACTCACTCGCACCAATACATCAAACTTCAGATTAGTCGCTAAACAGTGTTAATCTCGATGCACACTTGTCGATCTGAGCCACTCAAGACTGCCGGCTTTTCTTCATCTTCCGGCCAAAGTATCTTAAGCGCCATGCGACGTTTCAAAAGTTCCGCCGCCATTTTAATTGTTTACAGGAACATTTTTCAACGAAGCTGTCCGAAAATTTCACTGAATTTTCTTTGTGCTACTCATGAAATTTAGTGAAATCTTCAAACAGATTCAAGCAAGAATTTCGCTGTAAACAAATAAAATGGCGACGGAAATTTTGAAACGCCGCATGGCGTTTGTGATATTTTGGCTGGGAGGAGACGTTTTATTGGAACGTTTCGTTTGTTTTGTAAAGGCTGAAGTTATATGAAACCCTTGGGCTTTCGGGTTCTCTCATCCATCGAAACCTCTAGTTCTCTTAATCTCATCTCGGGATCAAAAGATTTACCAGAATGAAGCGTCATGAGCTCCGTCCACGTGAGCCGTGACGCATGCCGTTGAGATTTGGATGCAATATTGCGTTGCAGAGGCGTGGCGTGAATTGCGATATATCGATTGTTACGCCATTCAAACCTATGAAAAAAGATCGATTATCAAGGTGTTTGCAGCGAACACCTTAGTAATCGATTCTTTACCATAGCTTTAAATGGCGAGATATCGATATTCGATCATTCACGCCACGCCACTGTTGCGTTGCCTGGGTATTTCAAGATGCAACTATGTAATTGATAGATTTGAGCTGGATCAGTCTAACTACATGTTACGCTGCTTTACACACTCTCGTTCAATTTGTTTCTCTTTTTTTCCCTCTCTCTTCTTTTCTTTTATTCTTCACAAAGAACTGAACAGTATACCGCCTTTGGGACAATACGTCGCCCCCGGCTGACAAAAGGGCGTAACTGCGCAGCGAGATGAGCCGTGAAAATCATTGAACCGTATAGAAATGGGGTTCATCGCGAAGTGTAGTGGGACCGCGTTAAACAGAAAGGAACCAAACCACATCAGTTATCAGGGCCGGATTTAGGCGGTGGCCACATGGGCCGCGGCCCATGGCGGCGAATTTTATCATTTTTTTAAATGTAATTTTTGTAATTTAAAAAAAAAAAAAAAAAATTACATACGAGAAGAGGCGACAAAATCTTTCATTTCCTGAAAGTATAGTAATTTCTAATTTTGTCGTTTAGCGGTGATACAAGAGACAGCACCTTTAATTAGTCGAGTTATGAGAGAAAGCAAACGTGCAATTTGGCCCGGAGCGGCGCGGT